ACAACTTGATATTGGGATTGAAATGCGCTCCCACAGGTGCTCGCGCGCGGTTTTGCTTCCGACGACGTGGCGAAGAGAAAACTACGCGGGCCGCGCACAGGCGGGTAAACTCCCGATGGGCGCGGCGAAGACGAAACATGCGCTGCGCTGACAGCACACACAGCATTGTCACGTCCACTCAGAAACGTCGCGGCGCTCGGGCGAGGTCGACATTTCGCCCGCTATCGCGCGGCTCCGCTGTCGCTGCCGCTTGCATGCTCTCTGGTGAACGAACCATGCGCCGCGCTCGCGCGGGACACATTCGAGCGAAATGCGTACAGAGCTTGGGCGGGGGCTCGCGCGGGCCCCCCAAAAGGTGGCGAGTGGCAAGTATGCGTTCCCCTGACGAGGGAGCGCCATTTTCAGGCGAACGTGGCGCGTAGCGAAAGCGAGATCGACATTGCGTCCGATCGCGCATCGGCGAAATCTCGTGCAAAAAATGTGCGCCGCGCCCAGGTGTGAGCTCAACCTCTAGAAAAATGAGCGCGGTGCCGAGGTGAGAGCGATATTTCGGCTTTTCGCGCAGGACGCGCGCCCCGCCCCATTCCCGCTGCGCATTTTGCACCGTGGACGACAGACTGTCCATGCTGAAGCGAAAAACGCTGATTTGGCAATGCTTGTCGACGGCAAGATGGGACCCACCCAGACTGAGTTGCTGTCGGCCAGTTTTGTGTCGAAATGGGAGCAGATTCCAACAAGGAATAAGGATATGCCAATGTCCCCTCAAAGCTTGGCAGGGTGACCCCCATGAGCCCCCGCCCGCCCTCCGCGCACTCTCCGCTCTGCAGCTGCCGGGTGGCCTCCAGGCTGGATTGTTGGCCCAGACAGCGGCCTTGACCGAGGCGGGCGCCATGGATCTCCACCAGGACCGGGCGGGGTAGTCTCTCCTCCTTGTGATCATCATTTTGTATCTTACGTCCGAGCCTGGCCTCGGCGTTGAACCGTCGTCAGCATCCGCATCCTCATCCCCGCTTCCCCTGCTCCCCCATCTCTTGTGTGTCGTTATGTCCACCCTCGACGGGGATGGCTGTAGGAGCTGCTGGACATGATCCGGCACTTCGTCGAGGAGCAGTTCGAGCCTGGGGCGCAACTCTCGCGAGTAGGCCGGCGCCCGCCAGTCTTCTGGTGTAGAGGAGGATCGGGGAAGGATGGACGAGCAAGGAGAGGGAGAGGAGGGAGGAGGAGCCAGGAGGGCCTTTCCAATGTCGTCCGCTGGAGGGGGTGTGCAGCTTTGTTTTGTCCGCCAGGTAGCTATTGCTAGACCGCTGCGGGTTGCTGTAAGCACGCCCGTACTGGACATCTCGTGAGATTGCAGGCTGCATCTTTCTGGGGACCTTCAGCTTGTGGTTCTTCCATTCCCCGCCTCCTCGCCCTCCTCCTCCACCTCCCCTCACCCTCCTCGCCCTCATCCTCCGCGCCCTTCATCTCGCCCTCCTCCTCCTCCTCCTCCTCCTCCTCCTCCTCCTCCTCCTCCTCCTCCTCCTCCTCCTCCTCCCCCTCCTTCTTCCTCCTCCTCCTCCTCCTCCTCCTCCTTGCCCTCCTCCTCCTCCTCCTCGCCCTCCTCCTTCGCCTCCTCCTCCTCCTCCACCTCCCCCGCTTCCTCGCCCTCCTCTTCGCCCTTCATCCACGGTCAGAAACTTTGGTTTAGCGTGTAGCTCCACTGGTTCTGGCCCATTGCGCTTCTGCGCGACACGCTATCCGCATCCAATTTTCTAAGCGTCAACGCCCGAGCTTCCCCGAGCACCCCTGCCCCCCGCGGGAGCGTTGCGCCACGCTATGCCTTCGCAGGGCACAGCGTGTCGCAGAGGCCGCCGCGGCGACACGCTGAAGAAAAGTTTCTGACCGCAGTGCCAGGAAGCTGGATACAGTAGGGGCCCGACCACAAGAAACCTTCCACAAGGGAACGCAACCCTGAGACCCCAGGACGTTCATCGATTTTTGGTGTGGGAGCGCAACGCCTTCCATTGCAAAGCCATCGAAACCCAGGGGACCCTGGAGGCAAGCAGGGTGGTTCTTGGCATGGGCCCCCACTGTACACGTGACGCGGCCGGCCTGAGCGAGGGTTGGATGCACCTGTGGCCAGATGTCTTTCTAGCGCTCGGCCCTTCGCCAGCCAGGCACGCTGGGCGTCCGCATTGGTATCCAGCGGGCGGTCTCCAGATGTCTCATATTAGAATCCACCCACGTGTGTTTCCAGCTTCCTTCTCTCTTGCACGCCCGGACAATTTGCCCATCGGCTGCCCCGATTGGCTCTGCGCTGGTGCGGATTGCCTCGGCCTCGCCGCCGACGGGAGGAGTGCCCAGCTTCCTGGCAAGAGCCCCTCGTCTACACCGACTTCCAGGCCTCGGAAAAATAGCGAACACTCATGCCACATTCATCTGTCAACGCCTCCCCCTCCCCCCAATGTTCAAAATTGGCGGTGGGTCTGATGAGTTGCACCTCGACCGCAGTCTCCCCGGCGCGTGCCAACTTTGCGTCTGGGGGGCAGGGGGGGGTCCACTGATTGTTTCCCTCTGCCGTCTCTTCCCTGCTGCTCGACCTGCGCGCGGCGGCGCGCCCGTGAGAGCCCCTGGTGCGCTGGTTCGGGTTCGACGAGGGGCTCAGGGACGCGGTGGTGCCCGGCTGCGGCAGGCGAGTGCTCGTGCGACCACTGGCGGGAGGGGCTCGGGTCGTGCGGGATGCCACGGCGGGCGACCGAGGTGTGCTGCCAGCGGACGGGGAAGCGCGCCAGCCCTTCTGTCGGCGGCGACGAAAGGGGCGAATAGCCCAGGGGCGGGCATTACACGTATTCGCCCAGGAGCCTTTTCGAAGACATAGATCATCGGCGCACCTGAATACATGTATTGATCTCCCCTGGGCCATTCGCCCCTCTCGTCGCCACTGATTCTGTACTCATGCTGATCTTGCTAGAAGGGGGAGCGTGACAGTTTTGGAGAGGATGGTGCCCTCCACATCTTCATCACCGCATTCAGTAGTCCCTTCCTCCGGCTCGTCATACTTCGCCTCCTCTTCCTTGTGTTATTATAAGTCGTCCCCATCTCTCCTCGTCGTCCTCGGCATTGTCTTCCTCCCTTCAGCATTAGTGCTCTTACTTCTCGACGTCATCCTCGTCCTTCTCTTCGTCCTTGTCGTCCCACTTGCATCCCCACTCTCCCAGCTCCCCCCTCCCTCCGCTTCCTCGTCATCCGCCGTCTGTCCTTCTTTCTCCCAGGATGCCCCCCAGACCCTCCGATACAGCGCAGATGCGGCACAGCACGTGCCATCGTCTCGCTTTAGGTGCGGCGTCTCCCGTCGCTGCTCGAGCAGATGACACCCCTATTGGCACCACGACTGATCTCGTGTGTCGACGCATATTGGCGATCTGTTTGAAGGCAGCGGCCTAGATGCGAGCAAGTCGTGGCGCCGAGGGGGAGGGGAGGACCCCGAGGTCGCATAGTTTACGAGGCCTTGCCGTAGCTTGTTGGGGGTCTTCTGAGGTCCTGGTTCGTCTCGGGGCTCCCGAATCTCGCTGTATGCCCACTTTCGCTGTGGTCCTACCACCATGAGTAAGTACCCTGGAATAAACAGACATCTGCGGCGTCTTTGGAGCGCGCGTGGGGTATTGCTGCAAGGGCGTTAGGGACACTTTGGTGCTCTTCCTTCGCCCCCTGTTTTGTTGCCCCCCTGTCGGCGTCCACCCGAGAGCCCCGGAACCCCCTTGCTTGGCGAAGGCAGCAGGTTCCCTGCTGGAATTTCCCGCTGCCCCTTCGCCGGAGGCCCACGCTCACTTCCGGGTGGCGCGAGCAGACTTTCAGAATTCCAGGTCGCTTGCACCTATATGAGATCTGCGATTCTTCTTTCTCCTCCTCCTCCTCCGAAATCCTCCTCCGCCTCCTCCTCCTCCTCCTCGTCCTATTCCTCCTCTCTTCTCATCCCTCGTCGGTCTCCTCCCGCCGCATTCTGCCCTTATGTCTGAATAAGCTTGAGTGGGAAAGGCGAAGTGCCACATGCTTTTTCATTCCCGTCGCCACCGTTGGGCTGTATTTCCCTTCCGCGGGCATGTGAAATCGAGCCGAGGCGCTCATCCCGAGCCGCGGTTGAACAGTCTCATTCGGTGCGCGCCCGCCGCGGCGCACGCAGGTGGTTGCCGAAGTGCATGTGTGGAAAGTTAGGTTAGGGGAATTTCGGAGTCTGCATTCTGGAAGGCTTTGGGTATGCCTTGCAGCCACAACATAGGCGCCCCGATTGCAAAAGAGAAGCATCAAATCAGTTGTTCGAGCGAGGCATGATCAGGCAGCGTGCTGGCGGTGGGCGAGAGCAAAGGATAACGAATGCTTTCATGTCTTGTTGTTGTAGTACGTACGAACTCTCGACTCTCCATTTATACCCTCTTCTCCCTACTCTTAGTCTCTCGATCTACGTCCTACCCATCACATCTAATATCTACCCTCCCCCTGCTCTCCACTCTTCACCCGCAATCATCTACCCTCGCCTTGCCACTTCCCGCAATCTGATTTAGGCTCTCTGTCCTTTGCTTTCTTCACTGTGACACCTCCCCCGATCTACGCGACAGTCCAGAGGAAAATCTAGCGATGGCGAATGAGAGCTTGCCCGAAGCGCCACTGGAGTTTCCTTGCCCGGAACACTGCGGGGAGATCACGCCGCAGAGCGCGCAGCACCGCAGTCACCTCAAGCATGCTGGCGGAAGCACCGAGGGTATGAACCAAGAGGTCAGGTCTTCCATGCTCGAGATGTGCCTTGCGATGTTGTGCGGCATCCGGGCGCCCGTGGGCCCTGGCGCGTGACGCCGAGGAGCCCACCGAAGCGCGACTCGTGGCATCTGCTGTGCGAGATATCGCGGAGGTCCCTCGGAGAGAGAGAGTGCTGGCCCGCCAACGTGCGCGAGAGGCCGCGGCGCGAGCGCCGCACACGGCCACGAGGGTCATGGCGCACTGACGGCGCCCGTTGTGCGACGGGCGTCGGAAAAGAATAGCGCACACTCCCCCTGTGAGAGGGGGAATGTCTCGTTCGGTTCCGGTTCGGTTCCTGTTGACAGAACGTGCGGTTCGTACCGGTTCGGTTCGGCCCGGTTCGGTTCGGCCGGTTCGGTTCGGTTCCTGAGCCTTCCCCCTTCTCCCCAAAATTCAAACTTGGCACGCGCGGGGTAGATTGCGGTCGAAGCGCAATTCATGAAACCCACAGCCAACTTTGATCATTGGGGGGAGGGGGATCATTGACAGATGAATGTGGCAAGCGTGTTCGCGATGTTTTCCGAGGCCTGGATGGTTTGGGCGCAAAGGCCGTTTTCTATGAAAGGACTCGCGCACATAAGAAAGCACGTTTTGCCAATTTGGGATGCCGCAATGTTGCATTGAGTGTTGGCGCGCCCTCGCGCAACTCGCGCATCGAGCGGGTGGCAGCATCCAGACTCTGCGCTGAGGTGATGTCGATCGAAGTGCTTCCGCGCGGCGCGACGACGAACTGAGACCTCGCGTTGCTCTGTGCGGGCCTCTTGCGAATGTGGCAAGGCCTGCAGACAGCGCGTTCGCGCGCCCAGTCCGCCGCTGCTCCGAGCGCAGCTCGCAGGCTGCTGCGCGTGTATTCTGAGAATAGCACTTTCGCGCAGTCGGGCGCCGCACGGCGGAGCCCAGGCGCAGCACGTTGAGCGGGCAATGCAGCGGGCGCGGAAACCGCGCACTGTTTGAGGGTGCTGACAAACTCGGTGGGCACAGTACTGCACAATTGTCAGTATGCCACGCGTTACGTGAAAGTGCAATGAAAGACAATTGCGCGAGTTGAAATGTCGCTGGTTCGTCGCTGGTTCGCGCGCTAGAAACGCCGTTAGATTCGCGGTTTCTCCATCTCTCTCTCTCTCTCTCTTTTTCTCTCCCTCTCTCTATATACAGATGTATGTATTTCTCTTTTTTGTTGTTTTGTCCTCCCTCTCTCATATGAATATATGAGAGAAATAGATGTGTATGTATGTATGTACATCTATATATAAATATATATATATATACATACATACATACACATGCAGATGTATGTACAGTTTTAAACTTTGTTTTCCCCAATCAGCGCTTGCACTGTATGGGTCCCAGCGGATATTCTCCTATCAGTGGTTGCACTGAAAGGGTCCCAGCGGATCTTGAAGGATTTTGCGAAAGTTAGCGCCCGATTTCGGTGGACCGCCGGGTTCCCGGGTTCCCGGGTTCCCGGGGTCCGGTTTCCCGGGTTCCCGGTTCCGGGTTTTTGGTTCCCAGGTTCCCGGTTCCGTGTTTCCTATTGTGGGGTTCGTGATTCGATTTCCCTCAATCGATCTCATGCAACCGATATGATTCAATCGTTTTCACTCAACTGCATGATCTCACCCAATTGAACTCGTTATCGTCGATTTCATTCAATTGCGGGATCAGAGCAGCTCGCGGTGGACTCGGCCACGCACTACCTTGCAGCACATCTACGGACACAAGGCGCGAGGCAACGGGCAGAGGCAACTTGCCCAGCCTCGCGCAGCAGTGAAGCGCCTGCGCCAGGATGTCCCAGCAGAAGCTGCCACGGTGATCCGCCCACGGGACAGCTACTAGTGGGACCAGTGGCTGCAGCTGCCCCAGCACATCCAGACCACCGCCGTTGGTACCATCGTCAGCTTCGCTGGAGCAGCGGGAGTGGTCAGCCGCGGGGCACAGCGACGCGCCATGGCGAGGTCGCTGCGCGATTTCCAGGAGTGGGCGGTGGCAGGCCCAGCGCTGGGTACGCTACATCGCACATTGCGGCCTCGGCCCACTCCTACGGAGCCCATCCTCGTCGGCACCGAGACCATCGCCCACCCTGAAGGACCTCCTGGACCACGAGGCCACGAGCTGGCACCAGCTGCGGTGCCCGACTGGGCAGGATATCGAGGGCCCCACCGAGCTGTTCGACAGGATCCACCTCGAGCTCCAGGGGAAGAGCAGACTTCCTCCCCTGACGGGAGACGACGTCCGCCGCGCGCTGCAACGCCAGCGGGCTTCCACAGGTCACGGAGCGGACAGGCTCAGTCCCACCGACCTACTACGGCTGCCTGGTGATGCATTGGAGGAGCTATCGACGCTATTCAACATCCTGGAGCAGCTGCAAGCATGACCGCATCAGCTGCTCATGACCATTGGAGTCGTGCGTGCCAGGGAGGACAACGGTGACCGCGTCATCGGCCTCCTTCCAGAGATCGCACACTTATGGTCCATGTGCCGCGAGGACGCAGTCATATCATGGAATCATGAATGTGTTGTTGACTGGGATGATACCATCAGGACAACTCAGCCCTGAAGGAAGCCTATGACAGGGCCCTGCAGGAAGAGCTAACCGAGTACATTCACCTGTGTCGCAACGAGATGGGCTCCTCGACATCTCGCAGCTTTACGACAGCATATCCTGGGCCGCCCTGGGCAAGCAGGCCTTAGGCCGGGACTTGCCCGCGGAAGGTCCTAGGGCTGGAACTATTGCAATGCATCGCACCACGGACTTGCCGACACGTTTCGTGGCACAAGGATTACGATCAGGATCACGTTTTGCCAAATGCATGCCAGTCCGAGCGTTGCAGAGGATCACCCAAACACATCCCAGGTTTGAACCTAGACTTTGGATTGGCGGTTTATCCCAGCGCATTCAGGGTTCTCACAAGGCAGTACGACAGGAGCTCCTGCAGGGCCGCACGTGCACTTGCGAGGCACTCAAGTCGCACGGCCTCAGCATCGCCCAGAAAAAAGCATAGTGCTGTGCTCCAGCATGGACGACGCTCGCCACGTGGTGCGCGGCCTGGCGAGACGCGGCTTCAAGGTGCAGGCCCGCTCGCAGGCCAGCTACCTAGGAGCCGACCTCGGAGCGCCAGGCACACCAGGCGACAGCGCCTGACCCGCCACGGCCTCACGCATCGCAAGATCACCCGACTGGCAAGGGCTACCAGGCGATACCGCCTCATTCGTAGGTTGGCCGAGAAGGGTGGGCAGGCGGCAGGGGGCTACGGGCACCAGGTCCACGATGTCTTCGGCACCCAGGTGCAGTTGTCCCGACGCCGTCTCGGGGACGCGCTGGGGCCGCGCATGCCAGGGCGTTGCCTCGCCACTCTGTTGGACCTGAAGGCTGGCGGCCGAGACCAAAGGTTCCCCAAGGAGGCCATGCACCAGTGGCTCACGATGCGGGCCCAAGCAGGTCTCATGCAGAAGACGATCCAACACACATGGCGCCAGGTAGTCCAACACTTCCGCCAGCTCCCACCTGGCCAACGGGTCCGTCACGTGTGAGGGCCACAGTCGGCCATCATATTGTACATCATAGGGGATGGATGGAACCCACGGGAGCCCAATGCGTGGGACCTCCCCGCTCAGCCAGGCATCGGCGTACAGGACACCTGGGAGTTCGACCCGACAGGGTTCACAGGTAACCCAGCCGTCGACATCCCGTCAGCCTTCCTGCACGACCTTGACGGCAGCATCCAGACACGCTATTGAAAGCAGGCCAGCGAGCACTACGGTGGGTCGGGGATGGTGGAGGTACTCGACAACAGATCATACCGACATCGGCTTGGGCATCTCGAGAAGATGCCGAATGAGAAGAGGCTCCCGACATTGGTGGTGACCATCGCAGCTGGCGCAACGTGGACGAAAGGCAGAGTCCAGGACCAAATCAGCGCAGTCACAGCCTAAGACGGGCTCTGCCCACGATGCGAGCAATACCAAGAGATAGCGTGCCTCGGGGTGCCAGGGACGGAAGGCCAACCCGACCTACGACGCCAGCGACAGCATGGTCGGGGAGGCCACCACGCAGCAGGACATGTACGAGTGCCTCTGGACCAGAGGCCTCATACCCCAGTCTGGGACGTGGGCCCCGCCACCAGCGGCTCACGAGGACTGGGCCATGTGCGGCGTCGACGACGACCACTGCCTGGACGGGTGCTTCGGTGTCGGCCAGCAGAGGGGCCGACACGGCGCACGCGACCCGACGACGCGTAGGCGTGGCTATCGCAAGCTTCCACGACCTCAACCGAGGTGGCATGGAGCTCCAGAGGACAGCCTGGGGACCTCTCCCAGGGCACCGCCAGACGGTGGTCAGAGGAGAGTTGCTAGCGCTCCTCATAGCCCTACGAGCGTCGATGGGCGAGATCATATACGTCACGGATTATGAGGGAGTCGATCTATCTCAACTACCACAACGGGCACCCCCAGCACCCAGAGGGAGAGGATGCGGACCTATGGCACTGCGTGGGCCAAGGCCCACCGACGTTGCCGTACTCCTTGTCAGATATCGTCAGACCACCGAAAACATCGTCCAAGGACGGGCATTGGGGCCACTCGTATACGGCATCAAAGTTGTGGACGAGATCGCAGCAGTGGCCGCCAAGGGTCATCAGATACCGAAGGCCGTCCGCCAGAACACTGCATTGGTCGAGAATACAGCGTACCTTGTTCGCATGCGACTCCTGAGAGCCACCGTAGAGGCCCTAGAGCACGAGCGTCTCCAGATGACCCTTACATGCGAGAATCGTAGGAGTACAGACAGACCGAGACGGGCCAAGGCCCCGAAGGCACATGCCCCAGCCCCGTCTCTGTGTGGTGCCTGTAGTTCCTCCCACCAGCTCGGTGCCAGCGCAGCCAAATGTGCACAATGGTATAATACATAATGTTTCAAGCTAGTAAACTTAATTGGTACTTATATGAGGCCGCCCCTGGGTAAGCAGATACATGTTGCAGGGGGTAGCATTCACATAACCCATCAAGCTAGGTCCCACGCTGGACTGGAAGTTTGATTTTGTTCCGCGTGCGGGATGTACGCCTGACAGCAGATTGGGAAGCTAGCCGCCGCATGTGAAACACCCACCGCCACTGGGCGGGAGCATTGGCGTCGAATTGCACTGGGGTCGTGGCCCAAAGCGCTCAGCAAAGCTGAGACTTTCCAGCGAGGGGGGAAGCAACAGGCACCTCAGTAGGTGCCACCGGATTCCCATCATCATATCGCTACGCGATCAAGCAGAGTCTCCAGAGTCTCCTCCTCCTCCTCCTCCGCCTCCTCCTCCTCCTCCTCCTCCTCCTCCTCCCCGCACTTACCCTTCCTTCCCCACCCCCTCTTCGTGTTGTCCCTGTAGATTTTCTGGCGCGGGCGTGGGCGCAGGAGGGCCTGATTCCAGAGCGGCCCTTCCACGACCCAGCCGACCACCCGTGGTGCGGCGGCTTGGCAAGGCATGCCGGCACGTTCATGCGCGAGGCTCTGCGTTCGTTGTTGGCCTCTCTTTCGCGCTCTCTCTCTCTCTCTCTCTCTCTCTCTCTCGCTCTTTGTTTATTATTTTTGTTTTCTCTCTCTGTCTTTTTCTCATATATATATAGAGAGAGAGAGAGAGAAACAAACATAGGAAAGAAAGAAAGAAAGAGAGAGAGAGAGAGAGAGATTTGTTGACCTTGCCAGCGTACAAACGCACCGAGGGCTCAAAACCTCCGCGTCGGATGTTTCAGAATCCGATGGATGTGCTGGCTTCCAGTTTGGGGTGGATGGAAGTATTCGCTTCGAAGGCTTGGGACACTGGGCACCGCACCAAGGAGTGCAGCGAGTTTGCTCAGTGGCCCCAGGAAGGCGAGCGCTTGCGAGCGAGCGCTCTCTCTCTCTCTCTCTCTCTCTCTCTTTGTGTATATATGTGTGATGATGATGATGATGATGATGATGATGATGATGATGATGATGATGGTGATGATGATGATGATGATGCTGATGATGATGATGATGATGATGATGATGATTATTGATGATGATGATGATGGTTGATGATGATTGATGATGATGGTGATGATGATGATGACGATGATGATGATGATGATGATGATGATGCTGATGGTGATGATGATGATGATGATGATGACGATGATGATGATGATGATGATGATGATGATGATGATGATGATGATGATGATGATGATGATGATGATGATGATGATGATGATGATGATTAGTCGCTCTCGATTCGAACCTGGCGATGCGCTGCCGGTGCATTCCTTATCCTGCCCCTTGCTCTGTCCAGGGCCCCCCAAACGGGGTGGTGACCACACCGTGCGGTGAGTCGGTGGGGATTCGGGGTCACCGCACGGTTTTGGGACTCGGGTCGTTTTCCGAGGACGTCTCGGGCGACAGGGGCCTCTGGGGTCCCAAGACCGTGCGGTGACGGACCGTGCGGTGAGGTCTTGGGGGGGTTCGAGGTCGCCGCACGCTCTGTCACCGCACCGTTTCGGGACTGCTCGCTCGTGGGCCAGGTCTCGATCGCAGGTGCAGGTTCGACGGGCTTGCGCGGGGCGAGGTGGAGGCACCTCGATCTCGAGTGGCCCTGCAACAAAGTCGGGCCTGTCCCTCTGCAAGCCGCTCAGCCCGACTCGTCTTGAATTTTCGCCCAAAGTCCCCTTGCAGGGCGACATGCCCGACCTAACCCTGCAACCCTCCTCGAAGTCAAACGCAAGTTTTGATCCGACCCCCTCGCCCCCGAATTGCAATGCTGATGGACGCGCGCAGCGCTGCAGCATTGACAGTGGGGGTCCAGAGTCGTCGCCATGTCGTGGAAAAAAACCTGCGCTTGACTTCGAGGAGAGGGATGTAGTAATAACGCGTGCAATTGCCAACCGATTCTCCGCTGGTCGTAGGACTTGTTTATGAGTCGTCAGGGCTTGGTACTGCGACATTGCGATTGTACGGTGCTTCTCCGATGCACCCAGGGCAAGTGTGACGTAACTCTTTGCCCGAAAAATACACGGTCTGCTTGTGCACAAATGTGTTGCGTCCATTTGCGTCTTCTCCTGATCTGACGAGCACGACTCGTGTGGGTTAGACATCTTGCCAGCAGGAGTTATCGGGACAGCGATCTGGGGGAACACAGACAGAGAGGGATAGCGAGAGAGAGAGAGGGGACGGAAAGCAAGGAAGCGAGTGAGTGGAGAGACAGGGAGGTAGGGAGACAGCGATACAGAGAGATCTGGATAAATGGAGGGAAGATCGAGGGGCGAATGAATGGAGGGAAGATCGAGGAGCGAATCGATAAGTGGAGACACAGGGGCGAAGCAGGGAAAGATGCATAGAGGGAGGGATCGAAGCCGCATCATATGCAGCACACACACCCCGCACGCATGTCTAACCTTCAAGGGCGTCGCAGTCTGACGGTGGGCCCCCCGCTCTGCTGGGCGCGTGGCTTGGAGCCCGTGGGGTTGGAGACGTGAGCGAAGGCTTTGTTGGGGCCAATCTCAGGTGGTCTTCGGGCGAACTTGGAGCCTGGTGGGCCCCCCCCCCACTCTGCTGGGCTCGAGGCTTGGAGCCCGTGAAGTTGGAGACGTGAGCGAGGGCGTTGTTGGGGCCAATCTCGGGTGGTATTCGGGCGAACTTGGAGCCCCGTTGGTGGGCCCCCCCCACTATGCTGGGCTCGTGGCGTGGGGCCCGTGGGGTCTGGAGACGTGAGCGGGCGTTGTTGGGGCCAATCTCAGGTGGTCTTCGGGCGAACTTGGAGCCTCAGGTCGCCTCGAGAAGCTCCGACCGAGCCCCTGCAAGCCCGAACATTGCTTCCTATGTTGCCCATTGCGGGCCCTAGGTGGCCCCCCCAGGGGCCCCGAGGTGCCTCCAAGATGACACAACAGGACTCCAAGATGGCTCCAGTCCAAGATGGCCCCAAGAACCCACAATATGGTTCGGGCGTCTGGGAACAATATTGCGGGCTCTTGGTCGGCGGCGAGCGAAGGGGGAAAGCGAGAAGGAGAGCAGGCCTTCTCAGAAGGCGGCGGGACTTCTCATAAGCCCCCGCGCCTTCTGAGAGGTTTACTGCGTCTTCGGGGAAGGCTCAGAAAACTTCTCAGAAGGCGGGGGTACTTTCGAGCCCTCTCAGAAGGCCTTCTCTTTCTCACGTTCCCCCTGGGCTCGCCGCCGACAATATTGGGTGGTCTTCGGGCGAACTTGGGGCTTCTGGGAACCAAACTGTGGGCTCTTGTGGCCACCTTGGAGTGGAGCCATCTTGGAGTTCTGTCGGGTCATCTCGGAGGCACCTCGGGGCCTCTGGGGGGGGGCACCGAGGGTCCCCAATGGGCAAGGCAATGTCTGAGGCACTGTTCGGGCTTGTAGGGGGTTGTTCGGACTTCTTGGGTGCTACCTGAGGGCAACAGAACAGCACTGGGGGCAAATCATTGGACACCGCTTGGGTAATTCTCGGTATTGATACTCCCATCAAATGCATATAACAGCATCGGAGCAGCAGTCAAACTGTTGTGTTAGCGCTGTGAAATTCAGCAATCATCTAGAAAACGCAACGTCAAGACGTTGAGGTCATGCTGCCATGAGGTCTTCAATATTGCGGCATCCTGTCTACAATGCGCTCAGGTCAAGACGTGGAGGCCCCGGGACCTGCAAGTAATCCAAGGGAGGAAGATTAAGACTATGGGTGATTGTGGGAAGGGAGTGTTTCTCACTGGGGTGTCGTTAGTGAGGAAGTAGAGTCAAACTCGGAACTGCCCTTGCGCTGTTTTAGCTTACATGAAACGAGGTAGGACTCGGCTTTGGCCATACGACGTCTTTTAAAATGAGCGATGGGGCCTCACAAGGCGGCTTCAATTGTCATAAGACCGTATATGATAATGCCGAATTCTGGCAGGGCGCCTCCACATACTTTCATGGACCATCCCGTAGGCATGTTCTAAAGATGCTCTATGGACCACTTGGGGGGGGGGTGACTGTAGGCGACCCCAAAAAACACTCTTCGTCCTCCCGCGTTTTACGGCGAGTGGGAGTACTAAGCATGCAGCGTCTTCTGTGTTTCGGTGCAGCTGTGGCCAGCGAGGTTTCAAAAAGCATGGCTTACATGATTCAACTTCATTTTGGTTTTGGTGGTTGAAAGCATTCGAGATGTTGCCCATCTCGTGATCCAGCGCAGTTTTGGATAGCACATGTACCAAAGTTGTGTGCACCCGCTGTGCTTGCTCAGCGCCATCGTGGCCAGCGGGAAACTGATGGAAAAGATCAAGCCCCAAAACAGAGGCATTCCTGCACTACGACCCAAATTTGAAACTTGTGTTTTCTGGGCCCAGCTGGAGGGACCCCAGGAAGGCTTTTCCGAGGAGTTTGGAAATAGAGACTCGAGCTTCAAAATAGTCATCATTCTTGCGTTCCGGCTCCATCCTGGCTGGCGAATATAAGAAATTGTTTAGCCCTTTTGATGCTCTGACGCTCTATGCTGGCGAATGAAATGTGCCCAAATACCACTCCGCTTGTGCTCTGACGCCGTCCTGGCGAATGGAAGTACTAGAGGTGACACCCCTGGTGTGCGCTGGCGCCCTTGTGTAGTGCATGTCCCTAAACTGGCACAGCTCTCTTGCTTCAGGCAGCGGGTCATTGGGAGATGACTGGGAAGTCTTCCTGCGCAGTCGTACCCTGACGGCACACCTGTTAACAAGGAAGCTTGAAATTCTTAGAGGTCTAGGGTCTAGAGTTTGCGCGCTTAGTTGCGCAATTGCCCGTTACTTTTCAATCATTGCAGCTTTTGGTGGTAGACTTCTATAAATTTATGGTTTTCCTGGCAGAGGCGGTGGCATATGGTTCTCAGTGTCCGGCTCTGCTTCCGTGGGTGCCAGGGGTGGGCCCAAGGAGTGGTGTCCTGTGATTCTTGCTTCTGATATTTGAAGAAGACAACGCTATCATTGGTTCCGCTTGCGTTTAGCATGACATTGCAAAATCGGCATCACGATCGTGCTCCAAGCCATTTGCGAACATGCGAATTTGAAATTGGAAAGAGCGTAATCATAATATGTTTCGCTTGTTTTGAGCGCTGGGAGGTGCAAAAATGGCGACGTTACTGTGTTTCAGGTTCAGGCTGGTAAAAGAATGGGGGATTTAGATCAGGCCGCAGTATCATGCTCTGCGCTAGTTTTTAACATCGAAGGTTGCAAACATGACTACGACATCGTGCTTCGTGCATGTCGTTTGCACCTGAGTTTTGAAGTTTCACGTCTTGTTTTGCTTACAATTAAACTCACAAATATAGGTATCACTATCATGCTCCAGGCCCTTCGTGAGCATCGGAATTTCGCAGCATTGACATGGTAATGTATGTTTAGTGGCTTTGCTTCCATCGAAAGTGGCACATGTCACCTTCGTTTTTCTTTAGAATTTGGTCTAGCACCAGGATTTGCAAGACGGGTGGTTGTGTTCCGGGACTTTTTGATAGCCTGACTTCGCAAAAATGGCAACGGCACCGTGTTCCAGACCTTTTTGAGCATTTGGGCTTGCATGGGAACAGTATCGTGCTCTCGCCGTTTTTGGGTTCACCCTCAGTCGGGCATAAGAATATAGTTCCCGAGTACTACCTGTGGTCTTTGGGGGCCTGTTCTTCGGCTCCCTCTCGGCTGAGCCCTTGATCATTGAATCTAGAAGGTCTAGAAGGCTTCTTGTCGGCTGGGCACTTTACCATTGAATCTAGAAAGTTGGAACCCTAGTCCAGGAGTTCCTTTTCTGCGAGGGTCCCACGCATGACCAGCCAGAGCTCGGAAACAGTGATCTGCAAAGCACTCGGAACTCTCTCATGTACCAGGCACCTGGGCCCGGGGGGTCCCCAGGGCCGAAGGTCACCAGGGGCACCTGCATAACACGAAGTTCCCCCTCCCCTCCCCCCCGGGGGCCTCCGCGGGGCCTCCCCTGAGTGGGTGGCCACATGCGAACCCTGCCCCCCTGCCCCCCCTCTAGAAACCGTGGGGGGCGGGGGTGGGGTCCACATGTGGCCACCTGCTGAGCCTTCCCGGAGCTTCCCCAGTCCCCCCAGAGCTTCAGGGCAGGTTCCAAATAGGTCACAGACGGGCCAAGCTGGTGTCTGGACGACCCCAGGTGGCGTCGCGACGCCCCAGGAGGCCCCACGACGCCCCAAGACGGCTCCAAGAGGACCCCCAAGAGGACCCGAAGAGGCATACATCGTCCGATTCTTTTTCAGGGAAAAGCGCATGTTTAGCGAATTCGCTTTTTTGATTTTGACAGTGTCCAAGACGGCCCAAGAGGCCCCCAAGAAAGCCCCACGACGGCCCGAGAGGTCCCCAAGAGGGCCCCAAGACGGCCCAAAAGCAAGAGGGCCTCAAGATTGCCCAAGAGGCACCCAGGACCGCCCAAGAAGGCGCCCAGGGGGGGAATTACCGACGTTTCGAGGCTTCCGCCCCAAGAGGACCCCGAAGACCGCCAGCAGGCCCTCGAGGATTCCCAATAGGAGCCAAGAGGCCCAAAATAGGCCCCGAGAGGCGCCCCGAGAGGACTCAGAAATACTGCCTGGAGGCTTCTCCAGAGACCCGAACAGACATCCAAGAGGTCTCAGGCGGCCCCCGTAGAAACTACAAGATACCTTTTGCACGCCTCAAATCGAAGACACGGGTATGAAAACACTCTCCCCTTCACTTCTCTTCATCCTAATCCTCTTTCTCCTCCTTCTCCTCGTCCTCCTCCTTCTCCTTCTCCTTCTCCTCCTCCTTCTCCTCCTCCTCCTCCTCCCGCTCCTCCTCCTTTTCCTCCTCATTCTCCTCCTCATTATCCTCCTTTTTCTTCTCTTCTCTCATCCTTACACATCCCACCCATCAGCACCCTTTTCTCTCTCACTTCGCATCCTCTCTCTATCATGCGCCCTCCTTCTTCATGTCCATCTTGCCTCCGCCTTCTCCCTCACCCAACCCTACTCCACACTGCGAGTGTGTAGTTTCCTCCATTCCCTCCTCTCGCCCGCTTCCTCCGTCTCTTGCCTCCTAGTCTCTACCTCGTACATTCGCCCTCCTGCCCCCTCCATCTTCCTCCCCGCCTCGGTGATCCCCCTTCATCACTCCTTTCCTCCGCCCTGCCCCTCCCCGTCCCTCTCATTTCCACTTTGCATCCCCCTGTCCTCCCTCTAACCTCCTCCTCCTCCTCCTCCTCCTCCTCCTCCTCCTCCTCCAACTGCAACGGAAATCCCTGTAGAAAGCATCCTGTGCAAGTAAAGCGGTTTAATCTCGATGGGGGCTTTGCACACGCCGGGAACGTGGAATTTAGGCACATGAGCGCCGTGCAGGGGACGCCCTGCGCAGAGCCAAGACATCCCCATTTGCGACCCTCTGTTGTGCCTCCGAAGCCCTGAGGCCCCCACAAGCACGACCGCCGCGGCTGCCGCTGCCACTGCCACTGCTGCGAGAGCCGCCGCCACCGCCGCCACCCCTGCCGCTGCCTCTGGCATTGCCAGCCACGCCTACCGCCGCCGCTGCCGCTGCTGCGCGACCAGAGAGAGAGAGAGAGAGAAAGAGAGAGAGAGAGCGCGAGAAGTAGAGAGGGAGAAAAAGAGAGAGAGAGAGAGAGAGGAACCCGAGTGGCCAATCGCCCAGGATAGCCTCCAGACGGCAGCAGACAGAAAGATAGAGAGAGAGAGAGATAGAGCCAGAGCCAGAGCCAGAGACGGAGACAGAGACAGAGACAGAGAGCGAAAGAGAGAGAGAGGGAGACTGTTTCTTTCTTGAAGTAGCGAGCAAAATGTGGTGGCCCAGCCGGGCTTGCGAGACCACGCCCGCCAAAGCTTTCTTCAGTGCTTGATCGGGCTTTGATACTGAATCATCAAGTCCTTCAGAAGGACTTCCCTGGAACATTGGTTTCGCTTGGGGTTTTCTCTTCGTTCATATGCGAGGGCGCACTGAAAAGACCCGGCATATGGTTCACACCTTGTCGGGGAAGCGCTTGTTCCACCTTGTCGGAGATGGCTTGGCAAATGTTTCACTGTTTTGCGGAGAGGCACCCCAGGGTTTTCGGCAGACGTGTCACTGCCATGTGGGGGTACGTCCGGAGGCTTCGCAGAAAGGCTTCTGAAATATTTGATCATTACTGTAGGTTCGCGTCGTGTCGACGGGCGGCGACGCCGTCGCGGACGTTCAAGGTTGAACGCCGCCAGTGGCCCAGAATCGGCCTACATGGAAAGATCGGGCGATCGAAACCGCCGATCGTTCAAGGTTGAAGGATCCACGCAGTGTCAGAAACCAGCGCTGGGGTCGACACGACACGAACTTGTCGTGCGCGGAAGCGCCAACTGGAGGACTCGGAAGGTGTTTCTTTCCTCTGCCGAAAGACATGCGAAGGCTCCGCAGGGGCTCCCTGGCAAGCTTTGCACAGTAGACAAACAATGAATGCCAGTTCCCATATCGTGCCCTTTTTCATTCTCATCCCTGTCTCAACAGGGTCGATCCAAACCCCAGTCAGTATGCAAGCTGCCATTTCTTGGATCAGGACGGGCTACATTGTACATTGATCACTGTGATTCCATCGGTGCTGCACACAGGCAAGCGCTGGAGGTTGTCAGTAAGTCAGCGCGTTCATCATCGAGTAAATTTGGTGTGGGGGGAAGTTGTGCTTTGTCATGGCTGGGAAGTGTTCGTCTCTCTATTGTCGTACGCAGCGGCGACGATGCATAAACTGCGCAGTCTTGACATGCATCCTGTTTTTCAATATGATTCCTCGGTCTGGACAGTTTCATCTTTTTTGTATTGGTGCAGGTCTAGGTCGACGCCTTGTGCCTGGTCGTTTGACCTGCACGCGCCTCAGGCTAGAGGCTATTCATGCTGAAGGCATGGTCGCGGCTGGGGTTCCAGAGGCAGATGCTGAAGGTGTTGCTCTCCTGGCAGATATGGTGGGGGCGAATGGAAGCGAGCCGTTGTCCGATCCCTTGTCCCTCCTGCGCTTCTACAACTGCCGTTCAAAAGACGTTGGCGCGGCAGCCAAAATGTATCGAGAAACTAATGCTTGGCGAGCTGAATTTGATATTCAAGGCATCATGGCTGGTTACAGCAGCTTTGAGAAATACACTAGAGATGGCGCGCGCATCAATGACGTCAGGTATTGGAATTGGCAGCAACATCCAGTTTCGGCTGAAGCGCAGCTTGCCAATCGTTTCGCAATCTTCAAGCGTTTGAATTCCACGGCTCCTGGTGATGGAGCTCCTATTCTGCTGTGGCGAGTTGGTGAGATCGATTACCCAGGCATCGTGAGGGAAGGCTTAGTTGATGTTTTAATACGTGCATTTGTAGCTCATCTTGAAGACATAATGCAGACCTCCCGTGCAGCCTCCTACAAAGCTGGACGCTTGGTTCGGGCCCATCTGGTCATTGATAGTGGTGGTTTTTCCATCACCAACCTGCGATTTCTGCCGATCCTTCGACGTATTGTGCTGATCCTGGAGGGCCATTGGCCTGAAATAATGGCCACAGTGACAGTTGTTCAAGCTCCGTGGGCCGCCGTGCAGCTCTTCAAGCTGGTGCGACCATGGCTCTCCCCACTCATCCAGCGGAAGATCACTATACTTGGCAAGCAGTTTGATGAAGGCTTGCGCTCGCATTCAGGCCTCGATGACCTGTCCATGCTGCCTCCGGATCTAGGTGGAGAGACGAGCGATGCTTACGATTTCGTGGAGAAGGTACCGATTGGTGCTGGAGAGAAGTTCCGCGGCAAGTGAGAGTCATGGCTCTGTCATATGGGCACAGCGGGATTCTCGGCTGCGTGAACGCTCAAGCATTTGTGCGTTGGCGTGAGGGTTTTCAGCTTCGCTGCTCTGTGAAATTTTGTGTCGTGCTTCTTGTCAATGGTTTCCCACCGAACTTGCGCCGCTCTTTGCACTGGGCAAGATGCGTTTGAGAGTCTGTTGCCGAAATGACTGCGGTACCCAAACTGTGTTTTAGTCGACACAGCATATTGGAGGCGATAGCCAATTTTCAGATTATTGTTTGGCCTGGTCACGCGGGCTAACTCATGTCCTTAGCCAGAATGCCTTTCTTGCGCGTGAATACCGCCTACGTTGGTTCACATTCGAAAATATTGCAACACGCGCCTACTTGCATTCAGGGGCAGCAGAATTACCGCACACGAAATTGAAGTTACTCGACTGGCGCCGAACGTAGTAGCATTGAATCCTGATTTGGCGCAGGGCCTCCCGATCCCAAGATAGGGTCCCCGTCCAGGCCCATTGGAACCAGTATTGGGATCTTCCAGGTGGTGTAGCTTACACGGTGTTGGCAACATTCGTATGCAACAGCCGTTGTTCGTCCTACAGTGCTTCTGGTTCCAGTTTGCCCAAGACCTCATGCTTCACCAGCGTGTCTGGCCGAGGGCGCCCCCAAGTACAAGGACCAGTCGGCCACCATTGTTAAGGCCTCGGGCCAGCATGATTGCAATCATGTATGGTTTCGGACACATGTAGGCATATTTGGCATAGCACAGCAGGGCTTCCTCCTCCTCCTCCTCGTCCTCCCCCGTCTCGTCCTCCGTCTCATCCTCTTCCTCCTACCTCTCTTCCTCTGTGTCCAGGTATCGCCGTACCTTGGCCGAGCAGACGCGTGGGGCTCCGCGCCCCAGGGCACATGGGGCAGCATGGACGCTCCAGAGTGGCGTGCGTTGGGTGCGCGGGGCGGGGTAAGGAAAGGGAGGAGGAGGAGAAGGAGGTGGAAACATAGGAGGAGAAACCAGAGGAGGAGGAGGAGGAGGTTGGAGGAGGAGGAGGAGGAGGAGGAGGAGGAGGAGGAGGAGGTTGGAGGGAGGAGGAGGAGAGGAGGAGGAGGGAGGAGGAGATAGAGAAGGAGGAGGAGGAGGAGGAGGAGAAGGAGGAGGAGGAGGAGAGGAGAAGGAGGAGGAGGAAGGAGGACGAGGTGGAGGAGGACGAGGAGGAGGAGGTTGGAGAGGAGGAGGTTGGAGGAGGAGGAGGAGGAGGAGGAGGAGGAGGAGGAGGAGAAGGGGGAGGAGGAGGAGGAGGAGGAGGAGGAGGAGGAGGAGGAGGTTGGAGGAGGTTGGAGGAGGAGGAGGTTGGAGGAGGAGGAGGAGGAGGAGGAGGAGGAGGTGGAAAACATAGGAGGAGAAACCAGAGGAGGAGGAGGAGGAGGTTGGAGGAGGAGGGAGGAGGAGGAGGAGGAGGAGGAGGAGATAGAGAAGGAGGATGGGAGGAGGAGGAGAAGGAGGAATTGGAGGAGGAGAAGGAGAAGGAGGAATTGGAGGAGGAGGAGGATGAGGAGGAGGAGGAGGAGGACGAGGTGGGGGACGAGGGAGGAGGAGGTTGGAGGAGGAGTGTAGGAGGAGGAGGAGGAGGAGGAGGAGGAGGGAAGGGGGAGGGGAGGAGGAGGAGGAGGAGGAGGAGGAGGAGGAGGAGGAGGAGGAGGTTGGAGGGTGTTGGAGGAGGAGGAGGTTGGAGGAGGAGGAGGAGGAGGAGGAGAAGAGGTTGGGAGGAGGAGAGATACGGAGAGGGACGTCAGGGGATGGGCATGGGAGGGGAGGGGGTTTCAGTGGGTCGAAGTCCGCAACAAGATCGCCACAAGTTGTCTCACTCGCTTGCACCACCTCTCCCGCCACTGAAGTGGCACCCGAGGCTCAGCACTAGCAGCGGTCGCCATGCCATGAACAAACATGTCGGACCACAAGAACAGGCGCGCCAAGCTCGCAAGGCGTCGTGAGTGCTAGGTGCACCCCGCGCACCACATGCTCCGGGAGCCCCCAAGTGCCCAGGCGTGCTTGGCGCGCCAGGTAGCGTACGTGCGCCACATGCGCCGTCAATTGCGCCAGGTGTACCATTTGTACCAGGTGTGCCATGTGCTGCAGGCGCGCCTGGTTTACCAGGGGCGCAACGCGCGCAGCGTGCGCCAGGTGCGCCAGTGCACATGACAGCGCACATCGGGCAATATGCCCACACACACACACACCCACCACCCCTGTCAACCACCAGGGCAAACTGCCGTCGGGGTAGTTTTGCATTGCATATGGCGCATGCAAATGGAATCGCATCGCGCTGGTGTTTGACAGTGGTGGTGGGCCAGCGCATTGTGGAGCGTATGGTATTCCCCCCGCTAACTCAGACTGATGCGGGGGCGCCCTCTCATCATCCAGTGCTCGTTGAAACGCGCATTCTCGTTAGTTTCGATCGACGGTGGTGGGGGGATCATGGACGCTAGTCGGCGGCCATTTTAGTGGTGGTGGTGGTGGTGGTGGTGGCGTTTGTTTGTTACCAAGGAGAAGTGGTTAGGAGAGGGTTGTCAGGGGAGGGGCATGGGAGGGGGGCAGGTTTGGTGGGGGGGAGGAGATGGGAGGGGGCGGGAGGGGGAGGGAGAGACAAGGGGATAGTCAAGCCAGGTGCGCTCGCGCCATATCTGATATCCCACCCCTCCCACTATCCCTTCCACTGCGCTGATGTTTCGCTATCCGCCGACGGGTGTCCTAGCGGACCTGGCTCCCCAGAAGAAGGCGAGCCGTATACGTTGGAGGAGGCGAAGGAGGAGGAGGAGTTTGTGGATGACCTGGGGGATGAGCATGATGATGAAGAGGAGGAGGAGGAGGAGGAGGAGGAGGACGGAGGACGGAGGACGGAGGACGGAGGACGGAGGACGGAGGAGGAGGAGGAGGAGGAGGAGGAGGAACAGGAGCAGGGATAACGGGAGAAGCAGGAGGACCATGGTGAGGCGGAGGAGAGGAAAGGAGGGGGCGGCAACGAGGAGGAAGACATCGGATCCTGAAATGTGGCCCGCGTTGGGGCGAGAGCGCCATTCTGAACGACAGGAGCAAAGCACCGATCTTGAATTGTGGCCCTCGCTGCAGAGGGAACCATATTGTTTGAAAGGCCGGGGACGTTCTGATTCGAAAGCACCGCATCGAAAGCCACCGCGGGACAACCCTGTGCAAACAGCCGTTAACGACATGTGTTATCGAAAAACGCAGCATCAGCGGATATATGAGAGTACTACTCATGGATGGGGCAGGGATGACGAGGAGGGAGTTGGTTGTGGCTCTCCCTTCCGTCCCCCAGCTTAGTTCATCCTTGACGTCGGTGGCTAACGTACACGGCGGGCAGTTCTGACATTTACCCGTGCGAGTCCATCGTGGACCTTTAGGTTTTCTTTGGCCAAGATAGGCAGCTCCTTCCCATCACTTAAATTGGTGCGGTCGATGGGAAAGGTGGGGAAGGCCAAGGTGGAGGAGAAGGGAGGGGAGAAGGGAGAGGGGAGGGGAGGGAGGAGAGGACGGGAAGGGAGAGGGGTGGAAGAGCAATAGATTGTTGAAGTGGCATTTGTAGGTCATTTTACCAATCGCAGCTGGAAGACGGCTGACCCTACGACAGCATCTCGCGCGCGATCGATCTGATCGCTATCGTCAGCGCAACGACCGATCGGCACGATCATGTCGCTTGTTCGTGGAGCACCCCTGCGCGCGATTGGTCCAACGTCGAGAACGGGAGTTGGCCAACCCTGGTCTGACGAGTGGTAGTGGAACGAAGCCCGCGGGAAGGGAGGTCTCGTACAGAATGGCATATGGGTCGCAGAGGACCGACCTGCTAGCATTGCCCATTGCCGCCCTGTTTTTCCATTAACTAATATCCAAACAATGGGCTCTGGCTCCTTTCCTCTTTCCCGCCTCCCTCCCTTCCCACAGATCATTCGTGCTCAGATCACTCATGCAAATCACTCATGCTGACCTACTCACAGACACAGACTCATCCCCACCCGGACCCACTCACTCACACATTGAGCCGCTCTGAAGCAGAAACTGCCACATTCAGACTACTCATGCTTTGACTCGCTCTTACTCAGACTCACTAACTGTTGGCTCCACTAACATGCATACTCATTCGCAGCCAGACTCACACACACTCGGGCTCTCTCATAGAATCACTCACACGTACACATCCTCACCCGTGTTCATTGTCATCGTGATGTATCCAGCGATGCATGTGCTTCTTCCCTACAACGGGTTGTCGACTAGGGGTGTTCCCCAGGCCCGTTCGCGCCCAGATTGTCCGGGCTTCTCAGGCAAAATGACCGTTTTGACGGGTCACGGGTGTTTATTTTCATGGCCGCGTGATCATCGCAATGTAGCAGGTGTGGCATTTTGGCATCCCAAGGGGCTTCGTTCTTGCCCAGACTGTCAGGAAGTATCATGCGAAATGGTGTTCCCTTTCAGGGCCGCGGACATGGCATGTGGACATCCCATGACATCCTGATCTGTGTCGACCAAGGGTGTTCCACAGGCCCGTTCGCGCCCAGATTGTCGCGACCTCCTAGGCATAAACGTGTCTCTTTCCAGGGCCGCCTGATCATCGCGGTGTAGCAGGCATGGAACTTAGGCGCCGCAAGGAGGTGTTGATCAGGGGTGTTGCATTGTCTGGTCGCACCACGACTGCCAGGACTAGAGGAGCCGTAAGACGTGTCTCTTTTCAGGGCTGCATGATGCTTGCGATGTAACAGGCATGGCAATTGGGGGTCGACCAGGAGTGCTCCACGGGCCCGTTCGCGCCAAGTCTGCCGGGACCTGCAAGGCAGGGCCAGGGGGGGTAAACGTGTTTCCTATCAGGGGTGCATGATGCTCGCGATGTAGCAGATATAGTGCTTGGGCCTCCCAAGTGTGTGCGTGTGTGCTTGTGTGTGCGCGTGTGTGTGTGTGTGTGTGTGTGTGTGTGAGTGTGTGTGTGTGTGTCCGTGCGTGCGTGCGTGCGTGCGTGCGTGCGTGCGTGCGTGCGTGCGTGCGTGCGTGTGTGCGTGTGTGCGCGTGTGCGCGTGTGCGTGTGCGTGTGTGTGTGTGTGTGTGTGTGTGGGTGTGTGCGGGTGTGCCGGTGTGCCGGTGTGCCGGTGTGCCGGTGTGCGTGTGTGCGTGTGTGTGTGTGTGTTGTGTTGTGTGTGTGTTTGTGTGTGTGTTTGTGTGTGTGTCTGTGTGTGTGTCTCTGTGTGTGTTTCTGTGTGTCTCTGTGTGTCTCTGTGTGGCTCTGTGTGTCTCTGTGTGTCTGTGTGTCTGTGTGTCTGTGTGTCTGTGTCTGTGACTGTGTCTGTGTCTTTCTGTGTCTGTGTCTGTGACTGTGACTGTGTCTGTGTCGACGGGGTTGTCCACCAGGGATGTTCCAGGGGCCAGTTCGTGCCCAGATTGTCGGGACCTCCCAGGCAAGATGGCCAGCTTGGCGTAGGTGAACGCGTCCTTTTTCAGGCCCATTGGCGCCCAGATTATTCGGATTTCTCTGGCAAACTGGCTGCTTTGCCATGATCGAAGTGTTTCTGCTCAGGACCGCGCGACCATCGCGATGTAGCAGACATGAGAATTGAGCATCCCAAGGAGGTGTCGACCAGGAGTGTTTCTTGGGCCCGTTCGCGCCCAGATTGTCGGTGCCAGTCAGGCAGAATTGCTGCTCTGGTGCGGGTGGTAGACATACATGTCTCTGTTCAGGGCCGCATGATGCGCGCGATGGAGCAGGCGTGGCATTTGGGCATCCCGAGGGGGAGTCGACCAGGAGTGTCTCTTGGGCCCGTTCGAGCCCAGATTGTCGGTGCCAGTCAGGCAGACTGGCCGCCTTGCCGGGATTCATGTGTTTCTTTCCGGGGCCGCATGATGCTCGCGATGAAGCAGGCATGGCGCTTGTGCATCCCGAGGGGGGTTCGACCAAGGGTGCTCCGCTGGCCCGTTCGCGCCCAGATTGCGGGGACATCTCAGGCAGAATGACCGTTTTGGGGGGTAGGCGTGTGTCTGCTCAGGGCCGCATGGCCACTGCAATGCAGCAGGCATGACATTTGGGCCTGCCAAGGGGACGCCGACTGGGCAGAGGAGGAGGAGGAGGCGGATACGGAGGAGTGGGCGCCAGGAGTGAGACGAGAGTTGCACAGAGCAACTCAGAAAGGACAGCGCACCAGCGAGCGGCAGAGAACAGCAGGCAGCATCGCTCACACTCAGACAAGCTGTCAGTCAATCGCACGCAGGCTCAGACTCGCTCACGCACATACGAGGTAATGACATATCCGCGTCGAATTACTTTCAAACTTAGTCGATGCTCCTCCTTGTCGTTCCAGAAGGCACAGTTTCATCACGTTCTTCTCGCTTTGCGTATCCTCACCAGCCCTTTGACGGTGCGCGGCTGCTTCCGCGTCACTCGCAATCAAAAAGTACCCCCACCAGCCATTCGGAAACGTTACCCATGAGAGCTGACGGGAAAAGGAACGGAGAGACACACATACGGAGACAACGCGGGCAACCAGGATGAACAGAGAGATCTCTGGGAGCAGGGGGGGGCCTTGGAGGGCCTCTTCGGCTATCCTTGGGGCCCGAGGGAGGGCGAGGGGAGGAGAAGGAGGATGACGATAATGATGGATGATGATGATGATGATGATGATGATGATGATGATGATGATGATGATGATGATGATGATGATGATGATGATGATGATGATGATGATGATGATGATGATGATGATGATGATGATGATGATGATGATGGTGATGGTGATGATGGTGATGATGTGATGATGATGATGATGATGATGATGATGATGATGGTGATGATGATGATGTGCTGATGCTGATGCTGATGCTGATGCTGATGATGATGATGGTGATGGTGATGATGATGGTGATGGTGATGATGATGATGTGATGTGATGATGCTGCTGATGATGTGATGATGATGATGATGATGATGATGATGATGATGATGATGATGATGATGATGATGATGTTGATGATGATGACGATGCTGAGGATGATGAGGATGAGGATGAGGATGAGAGTGAGGATGAGGATGAGGATGAGGATGAGGATGGGGATGGGGATGGGGATGGGGATGGGGATGGGAATGGGGATGGGGATGGGGATGGGGATGGGGATGGGGATGGGGATGGGGATGGGGATGGGGATGGGGATGGGGATGGGGATGGGGATGGGGATGGGGACGGGGATGGGGATGGGGATGGGGACGGGGATGGGGATGAGGAGGAGGAGGAGAAGGAGGAGGAGGAGGAGGAGGAGGAGGAGGAGCCCTCGTGGGACACTCTTGGGGCGCTCTTGGTCGCTCTTGGGATAGTCTTGGGGCTCTCTTGAGGTCCTCTCGGGAGCGATGGAGGGTCTCTTGAGGCCATCATGGAGGCTATCGATCAAAGGAGGGGAGTCCCCGGTTTCGCCCCCCCCCCACCCCCCCTGGAGCCATCCAAATCGCCTCATGGGGCGCTTTTGGGCGCTCTTGGGCCCGTCTGGGAGGGTCTCTTGGGCCCCTCTTGGGCCTTTCTTGGGCCATCTTGGGGCCATCTTGAATCCCTGAAAGCGCATCGGAAGCGAAAAGGCGAGACGGCACAAATGATTCATTGATTTTCACAGGGTGTTTGAAGGATGTTGGCCTTTTGGGGGGTCCTGCGGTGGCTCCGAGAGCACTTGGAACCGTCTTGTAGCCCTCGTCGGGCCTCTTGGAGGTATGTCGGAAGCTATTTGGAACCATCGTCGGCTACCTTGAGCCATGTTGGAGGCCATCTTGGAGCATCGGGGGCCCTCTTGGAGCCATCTGAGGCCATCTTGGACGCTCTAACCCGTCTCCCCCCCCCAAAAAAAAAACAGGGAGGGGAGGGGGAGGGTACCACTCCCCGCAGGGAAGAGGGCTTTGGAAGAGAAAAAAAACACTCGTCAAACCAACTTAGCTCAACAGGCTGCTGGGATTATGTGATCCTGTCCAGGCTATTGGATCCCGAAGGACGCTCCAGGGACTTCATGGCTTTAGGGAGACGGCGAACGGCGGAACTGGAGGGAGTGGTACCAGCCTCCCGTGATGCTGCTATTATTCTTCATCCTCCGTGTCCTCCTGTCATCCTGGCGGGTGATCCAGCGAATGTCTGTGAGTTGGTGGGGGGAAGGCCACCACTGGATGGGTGGTAATTGCTGGGGCGCAGTCGTTGGGATCACGGTGACTTTGAGATGCAAGAGGGCCAGACGAAGAGGAAGAGGAGGAGGACGACGACGATGGCGATGAGGAGGAGGAAGAGGAGGAGGAGGAGGAGGAGGAGGGGTAGGAGGCTATGCAAGGTCCAGTCGAGGAGGAGGGGGAGGAGGAGGCTATTGTGACGAGCGTCAAGAAGAACTTGAAAGGTCCTGAAGGCCCCTCCATTTGGCATTGCTGATGCTGCCCGTATCCCGACTCGCTCATCCAGGAACGATTCACAGGTGAGTTGTCGGAAGAAGGGAAGAGGAGGAAGGGAAGAGGGAAGACATCAGTCAAATTGAAGGAAGGATCAGCCCGAGCAGCCTAATGAATATCGAACCTGAGGCCCTCCGGGAAACCCATGGAGCCCAGACCAGTCTGGCCGATCGCCACCTGGGGTCCCAGGAGTTCGGTTCCCAGGTGGTGGACATGAACACTGTCAAGGCGCATCGTAAGGATGAGCAATTTTCCAAGGTTGCCTTGCATCCTTGCCCCTTCGGTTTCCGGTACCCTTGTATCCTTCGCTTTTCGGCCGCCCCCCGTTCGAAAAACGTCAACGTGGCCTTCCAAGGCCCTCGCATCCTTATTGCGCATCCTCGTTATACGTCTTGACTGTACACGCCGGTTGTTGAAAGTAGGTATTTCTGGATTCCCAGATCCCTATCTACTTCAGACGCCTTCCTGCTTCAAGAATCGATGTGATATTGCTGTGCTTTGCGATTCTCTGGGAGGGCCTGGCCCCAACATACTTTGTCCGCCTTCCTACTTTCTGTTTTCCCTACCTCTTCCGACCGACGTGTGCATCCCCGCCTCGCGCACCCTTCGCTTGGCACCCCCGTCGGGCGGCGAGCTTGGGCGCGGTCCGCTGGGGCGCCAGCCGGAGGCGTGCCCCTCGCGACCGCCGCCGCCCCGAGGACGGGCAGTTCCCCGCGTCGCGTGCGGCCCTGTCGTCCCTGGGCGGCTTCCGTCCAGATGAGGTGTTCTTCGCGCTGATGCCAGCTGGCGCCGGGTGGGGTGGGGTGGGGGGGGCATTATCGAGAATCAAAGAACCCATATATGTACATAGCCTTCATGGCACAGCGTTGATGTGGCCTCACTCAGGTCCCCGTCTCCGCATCGTGGATAAGAAATCTGGGCGGCTTGGTTCGATGTAGCTGCAGAAAAAAAAAACTTGTTTGGCCCTCCTGACTGAGGTCCCGTCCCAAAGGGTTAGGGTCCTTCTGCTGTTCATCAGGGTAAATCGGCCAACAACCAATCGACCACCCCACCCACGACCCGCAGGGTCGCAGGCGGGTCGTAGGTGGTGCGAAGTCGTAGGTGGGTCATAGATGGTCGTAGGTGGGCAATTGCCTGAGCTTTGAACATCGCTGGGTCGTAGGTGGGGTGGCATCGTCTGGTTTCTGGTCCAGTCAAGGGATATGAAGGGGTCTGGCCTGGCGGGGCATGTCTGGTGTTTGCGGCCCTTCTCCCCCCCAGTGCCTTCTCCTGCTGCTCCGCCGCCTCTATCGATCATGTTATCTTCCTCTTCCTCCGCATATCCTCCTCCTCCTCCTTCCCCCCCCCCCCCTCCTCCTCCTCCTCCTCCTCCTCCTCCTCCTCCTCCTCCTCCTCCTCCTCCTCCTCCTCCTCCTCCTCCTCCTCCTCCTCCTCCTCCTCCTCCTCCTCCTCTTTCTCTTTCTCCTCCTCTTCCTCCTCCCCCATCGTCCTCATCCACGGGAGTGCCCCCTTGAAGGGCGCTGATTTCGTTTTCTTGCCCCTGGATGGGCTTTCGTTCGTTCTTGCTCTTGCCCGCCCTCCTCTCAGTTGCCATTGTCTCTCCTCCTCTTCCTCCTCCTCCTCCTCCTCTTCCTCCTCCTCCTCCTCCTCCGCATGTTCCATCGGCGCATTTCGGCTAATGATGAATTCTTGCCCCAGGCAGGGCATGCAGCTTACATATCCCGGTCTTGCTCATTTTTACGGCGCTGGAGGCGGCCATACATTTCAAATGTTCCACCCGCTGGTGGAGGAGCTCCATGCCCAGACCCATGTTCACGAGTCCTCCTTGCGCGGGAACGCGGTGCATTCTCAGAGGTACGTATTTCGCTGCATTGTATACAAGTTGGTTAAGGTTGGAGAGGTGCAGCTCAAAAGGAGCGAACAGGTGACAAATCCAGTGCCGACGGCTCCTGCAGCACACCTCGCGTTGCCTCGCTGAGCGGACACGAGCGTCATCGAGACTGCCGAGAGCGTCGTCCCACCCATCCGCGCCAAGCTAAGCGGAGGAGAAGGGAGGAGAAGGAGGAAGAGCAGGAGCCGCATACTCTAAGGTGGTGAATGTAGCCTTTGGCCCCCAACCTGATTGTCTGCTGCGCCACCGAGCGAGGTCCAACGCGGCAACGGCACGCACGAGCCAGGCCGCGCGCGAGGGATGAGCGTGCTTGGGGCAGCGGTCAGGCAGCGGCGGGGGCGGCCGTGGCGTTGGACTCGTGCAGGCTTCGTCGTGCAGCTGCCGAGACCACGGAGGCAGCCTCGGACCTGCACTCACTTTTTGCACAAGCCCGAGGTGCGCCTGCTGCTCCAGCGTGGCTCCAAAGAGCAGGTCACTGCCTTCATGCGAGAGCTGCACCGCAGTGTCGACCACGTCATCATGATGATGTCGATGATGATGTTGACGATGCTGCAGATGATGATGCTGGTGATGTTGCTGTCGATCATGTTGATGATCATGGTGATATCAATATTGCAAACAATGTCGACATTGCCGACAGTGTGGACCACGTCATCCAGACCAACACGGCCGACATTGCCCGCACCAACCAGGCATGCGACACGATCAAGAGGACACAACGGCAACGTGCAGCATACCATCAGGGTGATCCTGGACGCATTCGCAATTGCGCGGGCTCAAGACTCGACGCTGGACTTTGTGGCCAGGGCGGTCTACGAAAGGATCACTGACGCCACCGTTTCCTGGATCGGTGCGCACTCCGCACGAGCCTCACCAGAGCTCTCGGCCATTGTGCAAAAGTGGCTTCGAGACGCTGGCCTTCGCCGTGGACACGTCCTCTGGGTTCAAGGTACCCCAGATCAGCGCAGTCGGCTACTAGTCAGTAAAGGACGCGCAAAGGCTTTTCGACTCGCTCAAGTCCTATCCCATGCTCTTCAAGCTGGACTCCGACAATGGCGCAAATCCACTATCAAGGGCGTCGACGGCAGGACGGTTGACCTCTTCGGTAACCTTGATAAGAACGGACGACAACCACGCAAATGATTCGGCGCGGAGATAGCATCGGATATGTGGGGGAGATCGAAGTGGCAAGGAGCCCCCTAGCCGGGTTACCGGATGGGGCTTCGCATCGTGTCGTGCGTGAAGTGCGTGCGGGCGAAACAAAGTTGCGCGATGGCGAGAGAGATCATGGCCTCGTTAGGGCAGGGTGCCAGCATTTGTTTTTCCATATTGGTGGGCGTTGGGTCCCCAGTTGTCCTGTGGTTGTCCCGTGGTCGTCCCGTTGTTCTTCCATTTGCAAAGAGCTCGAAGCAGCAGGGCAAAGGTAGTAAGTAGTCGGTGTAGGCGGGCTTGGAAAATGAAGCGTGCCGTAAATGCCGCTTGTGATATCGATCTATTTGCCGGACGCTGAGATCGATTGATATATGGGGACGAACAGATACAACATACATATTGATATAAGGCTTGATATAGAGACAGTGAGACCGATGAGACTTCAACCCGCTAGTCGGATTGCAATACCGATATACATGTTCATAGAGGCATCGTCGGACATAAAAATCGATCGACGGCTTGGTAATACGGTCGAGTGGCAGCGAGACTGATACAGGTGTATATCGGTATGTCGATATCGAGACTGCTAGAACGCAGCTGAACAGCTGAGATGCGGATTCCGTCCTGGAGGCCCTCAGCGACGGCATCTAATGGGATTCATATCGAACGTGCGTATGGCCTGCGCGACTGAGCTTTGCCTTGCTGGCGTCCCCAGCCCGTTGCTGTGTGGCTCCTATTCCTCGCGTTCCACTGCGCAGTCGAGGATGCGGTGCGATTCGAACTCCATCGTTGCGGGCCAGTGGCTGGTGTTTGCTCCTAGTTTCGACCAGTGCATCATTCGGCACGCCTCTATGGCCACCCCAGCTCATCTATCACTTGCTCTCCTCATCCTGCTCCTCCTCGTATCCCTGCCCATCCCCTCGCCATTGAAAGAGGAGGATCAGAAGGAGGATGAGGAGCATGAGTAGTAGGCGAAGGAGGAGGAGGAGGAAAAGGAGAAGGAGAAGGAGACGAAGGAGGATGAGGACAGTGATGGCGCCCATTCGGTGGCACACGATCGACACGACGCGAGGGATGATGGACACACAAGATCGGCGCGGTGCACGCACGGCTCTGCGGCAATGGGCGGCTCCGAGAGCCAACGCCGCCCTCCTTGCACGGGGGTCGCGCCTCCTCCTCATCCTCCTCCTCCTCCCTTCCTCTTCATCCCTTCCTCTTCCTCCCTTCCTCCTCCTCCCCCTCCTCCTCTTCCCCCTCCTCCTCCTCCCCCTCCTCCTCCTCCTCCTCCTCCTCGTCCTCCTCCTCCTCATCCTCCTCCCCTTGGGGCCCCTCTCCTACAGTCCTCGATCGCCCCCCGCGATACGGCCCCTTGGCCGCCCTGCCGAGGCTCCAAGATCGGGCGCCACAGCGACAAGGTAAATTCGGTGGCTCGCGCCGCGCTCCGCACCCCGCTCTCCTGCGGCGCTCCCTCCCAGGCGGCGCGCAAGGTTTGGAGGCTCACGCGAGGCCCGCTGGGTGGTTCATCGCATCGTGTGCCTGCAGCTTGCTCGCGTTGATGTGCAGGTCCCTGAAGCAGTTGAGGAGCACCCATGCAGAACATATGGCTTGAGCTCCCCCCAAATGCAATGTTGGTTTCGGGTTTTCCGATTTGGGGCCTCCGAGTGGTCTTCAGGGAACGTGCCAACTTTGAATTGCGGGGAGAGGGGTGGTGGTGCTTAACTTCTTCCCTCAGCCGTGCCACTGGGTCCGCAGCCGCGCCTTTTCCTCACCTGGACTTTGCCTAAGGGGTTCTCACTTGATGCTGAAGAACCGATGTGTGTGGGGCGCGGCTTCACCCAGCCTTCCTCCGGGTTCCCCAGTCTTGTTTCCTCACAAAGGCTTTCCTCAGGGGTTCACCAGTCTCGTTTCCCCACAGGGACTTTGGATTCCCAGGTCTTGCTCTTTGCTTTCTTCCCTCGGACTCCCCAGTCTTGTTCCTCGGGCGCCCCGGTCTTCCTCCTTGCTTGGGTTCTTCGGGCTCCCCAGTCTTAATCTTTGCTTGGGTTGGTTCCCTGGTTTTATTCCTCGGGTTCCCCGGGTTCCTTGCTTGGGTTCTTCGGATTCCCCGTTCTGGATCGTCGGGTTCCCCGGCATTGCAAGGCAATGCCAAGCAACGCCAATCAATGCAAAGTATTGCGAATGCAAGCAAAGCAATGCCACACAATGCCAAACAGCGTCAACCAATCCCAAGCAACGCCAAGCAATGCAAACCAATTCCAAGTAATGCCAAGTAATGCGTCCATGCAATAAGAAATGTTCCTCGAATTGGGGTCGCGCCAGATTCACATGATTATATTATGCTGACGACCTTGCTTGCTCATGTTCGATGGCCAAGAGGGCTGCTCGCACCCCAAGGGTGAGGAAGTGGACGAAGAGGAGGGCTCTTATTTTTCATGTCATGTGTCCTTGGCGAGAGAGAGAGAGAGAGAGAGTGAGAGAGAGTGAGAATTTCGTGTGGACCAGTTCGAGTTTCTACGTGGTGTCTTACTCAGCCTGTCATGGACGTCCCCCCTCACACAGTCTATAATGGTTGGCGATTTCATGTATCCTCCTTGCGTTCCCTCGCATCCCATCCGTCCCTCTCTTCCCTTCCACTGCCCTCCCTCGCCTCCCCCATCCCTCTACCTCGATATCTGCCTATGCATCTGCCTGTACCTCCACCCCTGAGCATACCCATACCTCAACAGCTTGCTCTACCTCCATCTCCGCTTCCCTCTGGCACCTGCATCTAGTGGCCTTTGGTCCATCCCGCCACCGTGCCTGTGTTGTGGATAAGAGGCCTCTGTGGGAGGCTGTTTCTTATTGAGGCATATTGGGAGGCCTCTTAGGGCCTCTTGGGGGCCTCCTAGCGCGTCCTGGGGGCCCATCTTGGAGGCCTGCTGGCGGTTTCATGGGTCATCTTGAGGCGGAGGGTTCGAAATGACAGTTCGTATTTCCCCTCTTTGGCCCATCTAAGGGCCCTCTTTGGCTGCCTCCCCGGCCCGCTTAGAGGCCAGGAGGAGGCGGAGGACCAGGAAGAGGAGGAGAGGAGAGGTGGACAAGGAAGAATTGGGGAGAGGGTGCGAGGGATATGAATGTACACATGGAGGGCTGAGGGGAAGATGAGCTCAAGGGATCTGTAGAGGAGATGGCGATGGGAGAGGGCAAGAAAAAAGTAAAGGAGATGAGGGGGAAAAAGATCGGACGACCCGGAAAGGACGATCAACAACCAATGTATTGACACATTGTCCACCGCGCTGCTGGACTGAATCCTTTCGGAACCCATCGACATTGCTGTTTCGAAATCTAGAAGAGTGCCTCGTCGGCCATGATCGTTGCCTTCACAACACGACCCAGCATTGTTCGATGTTGTGCCTATTCGCAAAGGATTAGTACATTGACGTTGTAGTGTGGATCGGTTCTGAACGCCTATGACAACTAACAGTTGGCGATACATCGTCAACGTCGGTATGATGCCGTCCTTGTAAACAATATGTGCCAACAGCGTCATGTACAAAACGATGACATGTATTATCCAATGACCTCCGGCCCATCCCTCCACCGTGCCAGGGCTCTGGTTCACGGGCCTTTTGGATGCATATGAACCTCTCTTTGGATGCCTCTCAGGGGACTCTTGGAGGGGTCTTGGGGGCTTCTGGGGGGTCTCCTGGGGGCCTCTTGGGGCGTCTTGAGGGTCTCTTGGAGAGTCTCGGGGGGAGCGCCATGGAAACCAGGCGTCCGCCCTGGAAGCCAGGCGTCCGGGCCCGCAAGAATCCAGAACTTTGGCTGCAGCAGCAGCACAGTTGTGAGTTTTTGGACACTCCACTTCGTGCCAAGAGCACGGTGGCGGATTTAAGCGCCAATATCACACTAGGCCCCCCCAAAAAAAACATCTGAAGTTCGCTGCTGCCGAAGATATAGCGCCGCCTTCGCTCTAGCATACAGCTCTGGATAGATACGCGAACTCCGTGAGAACAAGCCGAACTTGTTAACTCACATCCTTTCCACTAAATGCGATACGGTTGCCAGACCATGCGCCCAGCAATCGAAACACGTGCACACCTCACTGACTCACAGAGGTATCAAACATCCTCTACATAGCACACACACACACGTGCGCGTACCCCTAAGCTTTTACATATACCCGCGCGCATGCAATATGATGACACATCGTTCGGACAATCCCCTCATCCGTCACCTCTGCCTCCATCCCCCTCTCCTCCCCACCTGCTTTGCACCCCCCCACACATATAACGCAACGACGGCCGCCGCTCTCCAATGTGAACGAAGCCAGCGGGTCTGCAGATTTCCACGCGTATGCATCCTTGTCTGCGCAGTTTTCAGCGTGTTCGCCAGCAAATGCAACCCAGCCATGCAACGCTACAACCATACGATGACGCTGGCTAGCCTACAGTTGCGTTACCAACCACCGTGGCATATACTTGCGGCAGCGCAGCCAGACATTCCGTACCGATCCGCTGGATTGCATGGTGAAGCCATATGTAAGGGCGCCAGTGCCATCATCAGCAGACAATGCGGCAGTTACATTTGAACTTCTCGCGGGCAACCGCTAGAAGTAGCAATTCGACTCAGAATACGGATGTTACGGTTTGAGCGTTGGTTAAGGGACGTGCCCAGGAGGCTTTAGACCTTGGAGGGTTCTTTATCTATTCAGGGCTGTGGTGACATCCATGGCCAATCCACGATTGGAATTCCATGGGGTTCCAGACCCAAGATTCTTTATCCAATAGTTCGTTACCCAATGCCCTCACCATACTACCTGCAGGGACGGCAAGGATTGGCTCACAGATGCACGATCCACATTTAAATATTGCCACTATGCCGCGGGGCACAGTGGAGCGTCCTCAGGTGCCTAAGAAACCTCGATCCTCCATGCTGAAAAGCCTGGACACCTTGTAAGGAGCCAGGACACCCAATACAAGCTTTTCGCAGGACTCTTGGGGCTTGTCGCAGGATTTTTCCTGAGGCCAAATGGCCTCGCGACTAGCCAAGAGGGTCCCAAGAGGCCCTCAAGACGGTTCCGAGAGGCACTCCGAGATGGCTGAAAAGCGATCCAAGACGGCGAAGATAGACGGCCCAAGGGGACCCAACAGGGCCTAAATACGCTTCAACGGGGCCCAGAGATGACCCCAAGAGCCCCAAGCGGCAGCATCATTAATGTCTCTCAGGCTTTGGAAGGATTCTAACGTTCTCGCCTTTCGGGTTTCCCACCCGCCAAGACGGCCCAAGAGGCCCCCAGGTAGCCCCAAGACGGCCCAAGATGACCCCCAAAGGGCCAGGATCCTAAGACGGCACAAGAGGCTCCAAGAGGCCTCCCCATCTTCCTTTCTGGTCCTCCATCCTCCTCCCTCCTACTCATCTCTTCTACTCCTCCTCTTCCCCTCTCCTCGTCTCCCCCTTCCTCTCGTACGCCCCCTTCCTGGTTGACCCCCCTGTGGCCCGGCGCGGGTCGGCGCACTTCTTCCTTGTGGCGCATTTGGGGCTAGAGCTCGAGGCCGGCCTGTGCACGCTGCGAGTGGGCGATTGGGAGAGGCAGTGGAAGGAGCGCTCCATCGTCTAAGAAAAGAGAGGGGGGGAAGAGGAGGAGGAGGAGGAGGAGGACGAGGAGGAGAACAAGAGGAGGAGGACAAGAGGAAGAGGAGGAGCAACAGGGAGGATGAGGGAAGGAAGGCTGAGGACGACGACGAGACGACGATGACAATTGAGACCTGAATTCCCCATTCCTGTGCCTCTCTCTCGCTATCCCTCTCTGTCTCCCTTTCTAGTTCGGAGGTACTGAAGTAGTTGACCATCGGCGGAGAACTGCTCAGCTGATCCCGCGTGCCGCCGACAACCGACGATGACGCAGACGGGCCTCGACGCTGAGTCACGAGCCTTCGTGACCCCCGTCGGATGGCCAACCGGTGGATGGCCAACCAGTGGAGCATGAGCGGCCGCGTTTGATAAGGAAGCACAGAGCCGGACCGCATCAGAGCGAGAGCGAATACATTGAAGCCTCGCATTGGGAAATGCATGACAACGACAATGAAAAAGATCATCTTGACAATTCGAAGTGTCCGAGCGCGGAGTGATTTACGTGTTAGCGCTCCAGGACGGAGTGATGTATGGTCCTATTTGGCCCATCGAGTTCGGACCGCTCCCTGACCGAGAACCCTTCGCTAAGATCCTAAGGGGTGTGGGGGGTGTCGTCGAAAACCTTTCGTCTTGTGGTCAAAGCTATAGCCCCCCCCCGTGTATATCCTCCCGCTCGCTCCCGCTGCCCTCTCTCGTTTTCTCTGTCTCTCTCTCTCTCTCTCTCGCATCTGGCCTTCTCTCTCTCTCTCTCTCCCTATCCCTCTCTCTCTCTATCTCTCTCCTCTCTCTGCTGCCGCGCCGTCCTTCTTTCCTCGTCTATTCCTGCGGGCTTGACATTATCTTTGCCGTTGCTTCTCTCGGGTTGCTGCTGGTGCTGCTCATCCTCTTGCTGCTTCTTCGCCTGGTGGTGCTCCAGATGCTGATCTTCGACGTTGCATTGCGACTGGCCACCGGCTGGAGCTTGAGCGATCAGAAGTTCCTTTTATTCTTGCCGAGCACGACGGTTGCGCAGAATTGTTTGCACTGCATGCTCACGGAGTTGCCGAGGTGCGTCATGTTGCGCCTCGCTCCTGGGCGCCAACCTATGTAAACCTTCAGATGCTCCACCACTAGACCGCGTTGCCGGTTCCGCTACGACTCCAGAGTCAACCAGTATTGCGTGTTGCCTAGCTAGTGTATTGTGGCTCGCAGCGGCGTTTCCTGTTCTTTCTGCATCTACGGTGGGCAACGATTCTGAGCAGTGCGCTTTGGGACATAGTCCCCTAAGTCTTTACGAGACGAAGCGGCGTAATGTGTGGACGCGAAGCCTTGCCACGTTAGTGAATATCAGTACTGGCGCTCCCCGCACCGCAGACATCAATGAAAACCAGCAGATCGCCAGAAGGTTATATGCCTTTGGTGAACGGGTTGATCCAGACCAATGACCAGGTGACGATATGATGGTGGAGCGTTCTGGTGAACTCGGCAGCATGGCGTTGTTCACAGCATCTGGAGCTGCCGCCATACAACCAGAGCGTATGTGTGCATTGTTACGTTGAGCAAATCAGTCCAGAATTCTCCTGGTGTGTTCATGGCGATCTTCTTCTGAACCCAGCGTCCCTATGATTTAGGCCAGTTTGTAGCTACACCTCCCCTGGGGCCTCTGACTGCGCGGGCGAGGCGGCTCCTGTGGGACGAAATGTTGCACCAACGTGCGATCCTCCTCTTCCTCCTTCTCCTCCTCCTCCTCCTCCTCCTCCTCCTCCTCGTCGCCGTCGTCGTCCTCGTCCTCGTCCTCGTTCTCTTCTCCACGTGGTTCGGGTACTGGTCGGGAGACTCGGCCTAGAGGTTCCAATTCACTGCCCCAGTCCAGCAGAAGCCGCTGGGACAGTCCCAGGCTTCCGGCCCCCATGTCCTAGGCCGTACGTCGGCGTCAGCGGCCACTTCGAGGGGCAGAGCTGGGCACCGCATCCCGACAGCGCCAGCCGCTCGCTTCCGGCTATCCGCGCGGTGTCGTTAAAGGTTTCCCTCGGCGGCGCATGTGTTCGTCCTTGTCTTTGCCGGGGTGGTTGGACACATGCAAACACGCTTTACGGTTGGAGGCGGAAAGATAGCGTGCGATGTGGCGCCACCGTCCCGCTCACTACATGCTATCCCTCACCTTGGGGATGGCGATGGAGAGCGTGCACCGAAGAAGCCCTGGCAGGAGGGTAGCTCGCACAAAAGGGGCCCTCGCGGGGGATCGCCTCACATAGATAGCGTGCTCTTCGGAGGTCGGTGTTGCCGTCTTTTCAGCACCAACCGTAGCATCGGCTGGAGCCCTGCGGGGCGAATTGAGCTGCTGCTCGCGCAGGCGGTCTCCAGCCTCATCCTGGATCGCCAGAGGCCGCCTTTCGCCGAAAGTGCAACGTGTCTTGCAGCTCTGTGCGAGCCACAGCGTCAATATAGCCGAACGCGCTCATTGCTATTAGCACCTTGAGATTGGACAGTCAGAGATCCTTCTGTCGTTCGCTCGCTGTGTGCATGTCGCCGTCCCAGAATCGAGGAGGGCGAAGTGCTCGTCTTCGACCACACTTTCGTGCACTCCGCCGCCAACGACTCCGACAGGCAGCGCGTGGTGCTCGTCTGCAGGTTCTGGCACCCGGGCTGCTCCGAGGCGCGGTGGGAGCCAGGCAAAGCTTCGGTCGAAGGACGTGGTCAAGATGTATAAGGACTGCTTTGGGCTCAGGATGTCAGAGCCCCGAATCATCTCGGGGGCGGCAAAGATGGGGGTGATGACTGGTGGGGGGATCTTATGGCGTGGGCCATGATATTTCCTCAGATTTCATGGCGCCTCCTCTTATTTCATTACGTTCCTGGCTCCCCCTGGGCCGCGCACACGCCGCCGGCCATGATTTGCGCTCCCCTTCTTGGACGCCCCCCTCTTGGCCGCACCCGGTCATCAGCTGGGGGTGGTCAGGGATAGCTACTGATTCGTGCCTCGGGGGCCCAAAGTGGAGTTGCCCCGGACCAGAGTTATCCCAGATACGGTCAATTTGTATAGTAAGGATGGGCAACTTTCCAAGGTCACCCTTGCATCCTTGCGCCTGCGGCCCATCCTTGGCCGCTTTCGCTGACCGCGCCCCGCTCGCGAAGCGTCGACATGACCTTCCAAGGCCCTGGCATCCTCACCGTGCGCCCTTCCTATACGGGCTGATTGTAATTCGGGCGTCCAACAGTTCCCGCATCATCGGGGTTGGGGGCGGTCAGGGGTAACTCCTGGTTCGGGCGTCGGGGGCCCGAACCGGAGTTACGCGTTGGTCGTGGGAGGTAGGTGCTTCTGGATTCCCAGGTCCCAGTCTACTGTAGGCGCCTTCCTGCTTTAATGATCGAATCTGATCGAGTGGTTGTCCTTCTTCCTTTCCTTTCAGGGGCGCGCGGAAACCCAATCTACTTCCAACGCCTTCGCACTTCATGTTTATACCCACTTCTTCCGACCGACGGGTACCCCGCTATCCCAGACAACTCGGGCGGCCAAGGAAAGGATCGGGTTTTCGGGCCCCTGTTCGTGACTGAGGCTCGCCGTGATCAGAAAGGCCCCTTCATTCCCTATCCGGCGTTCCTCATGGTGGCACGATGACTGTATGGGGGCGTGTCGAAGTTCACTGCGAAGTAGAGCAAATAAGGCAGCACGTCCCACCAGAGGGCACCAAAATGCGTTGGGGCAGGAATGACATGCCGCATGTTGAGCGTCACCCCCAGCACACTGGGAGTACTAGGCGTGCCTTGTGCATTTGGCGCACCAGGGGAGGTTGGCGCATTTGGCACGCCTTTCGCAGTCAAGGTGCTGGCAAACCCACTCTGTGCTGCCTCGCACCAGAGGGCCACCATGAGTGCTGGCACGATCCCATGTGTCCTCTGCATTCCCATTGGCAGTCGGTCGGGTTACTCTGGGGGGCGAGGCGTCCCATCCCTGCCCCTCACACCGTATACCTCCCCTTGTATGGAGGGGGTCCCCCAGGAGCGATCAAGCGGACAAGTTTTCTGGAGCAGGGCTTCCTTCTGGAACGCCTGGTCCACCCAACATCTGAGGGGTCACGCCCCCCCCCCTTCCCCGGCTGCGCTCTCAATAATGGGCCGCGCCCCCGCACGTACAGCAGCGTCTCGTCTCGTCTCTTCTCTTCTCTCTGGTCTCACCGAGCGCGTTCCACTACTCGCAAAGTGCCTACTCGCGAACGTCCGAAAAAACACAAGCAGTCCTCGATGTAATGGGTCGTACATCCCCCTCTGCGGATCCAGGCCAGTTGCGACTGGCTACTTTGCGAGTATTGGAACAAGCTTGTCTATGGTCGGCTGCTTCACTCTCATCTTCCCTTCCCTCCCCTCCCTCCGCATGGGGGGCATCAGGGGGGACAGCGCTTCGTCTCGCCTCGCCGCTCCTAACCTCAAACGCCAGGCCCGCCCCGCCATTCCTCGCCCTCGCGCCGGGGCGGCAGGTGGAGCGATACGCTCTGCAGCTGCTGCAGCTGCTCACTGCAGGCGCGATCGCGCGATCATCCCCCCGTTCCCCGCTTTTGCGATTTAGAGTACCTACTGTGTTCACTTTCCAGGGTGAAATGGAGTAGGAGAAGGAGAAGGAGAAGGATCAAACGAGAGCCAGCGACAGCAGAAGCAGGGCATCAGGATTGATGCCACCACCCCCTGACACTCTGGAGCTCGCTGGCACCAGCCATCAGCCAGCCACGCCGCAGACAACACGACCTCCACGGCTCGAGTAGGAGATCGACTAGAGGATTCATTTACCGCAGACTTGTTTTTCGCCAAATCTACAAACAATGTTGAATGTTCGTAGATCAACGAACACTCCGCGTATTTTTTCATATTCGACGACAATTTCAATTCTGGGCAAATGAATGCAATAGTCGATCTCCTACGGTGGGGGCGTTGGTTAAGGAATGTACCCAGGAGGCTGCAGACCCTGCAGGATTCCTGATCTGATGCGGGCGGCGGAGGTATCCTTTGGCCGATCCACGATTGGAGTTCCACCAGTTTCCAGACCCTGGATTGCTTATCCAATGCTTCCTTATCCACGTCTCGGGTGTACTCACGCTCGCTCAGCGACAAAAATAGTGTACAATGCTAGCGCGTCTTGGGCGTACTCATGCCATCTCGATGCTGGTGGGTAAGTCTAGGATCCAATGCAGAAGCGCCACAGCGGTTTCCCTTCCATCCCCGCAGTGGGACAGGCTCGCTTGGTGTCGTGGCTCCGTCCCGTTGAGGGAAGAAATTAAGCAACACCCCCCCCTCCCCCACAGTTCAAAGTTGGCACGTTCCTTGAAGACCATTCGGAGGCCCAAAATCGGAAGATCCGAGACCAACATTGCGTTTGGGGGGGGGAGGGGGGGGGAGTTCAAACCATATGTCCTGCAGGAGTCTTGCCTAGTTGTTTCCGGCACCTGGATCTCTGGGGAGGAGCGCGCTGCACGCCCTCCTCGCCAGCCCTCCTCCCGCGGACCTGGAGGCAGGTCCGGCCGAAGGTGCAGCGAGGGGCTTCCCTTGGGAGGCCCAGCGCGAGCCCCCCAGCGCAGAGCACCCACGCGTCCTGGATGCCCGCGGCGCTCCCCGAGACTCTCGAGGCTCCTCGAGAGGCTCGACTCGATCCTCGAGCACTCGCGCGGCGGAGCCGGCGGGTGGCCCGGCGGCACGGCCTGCCGCCCGCGAGAGACGCCAGCAGCGGCAGCGCGCGGGTGGCGCGGAGGGCGCACCGCCTCGGCCCCTGCGCGCAGCTGGGCGTTGCCCTCGCGCGGGGGAGCGGCTTTCGCCACGGCGTCCCACGGCGTGCACGGGTGCGCCGCCGGTCGGGGGACATGACCGCCCCCCCCCTCCGGATTTCCTACATGTTCAACGCGGGCTGCAGAAACCAGGTCCGCTAGACATCCTGGAATAATTCCTGGAACGCATCCGAAGCCAATATTATCATGAGACGGAACCCGCCGCATGGAACGCAGCACACGCATGCAGGTTGAGGCAGTTGGAGCTTTGACTTCACGAGAGCTTCCAAGCACGAGGAGGAGCAGCGTCAGCGGCAGCCTTAGTTTCTGATGTTGCTTGTGCGCACCCAGCACCGCGGAGAGGTGGATCGCTCGGCCCATATCCAGAGTAAGTTGTATTCGGTAGCATTCGATTCCTGCCTTGCGGGATGAAATGCCTGAAGTTGCCGCAGCAGCAGCGTGAGAAGAGGATGATGATGAGGAGAAGCAGGAGCAGGAGGAGGAACAGGACACGGAGTCGAAGGAGGAGACGGAGGAGGAACAGAAGCGGGACAAAGAACCAAAGCGGAACATCAGTTTCATTTACGTTTTACAGTTGTGGCGGATGTTACGTAAGTTGAAAAACAGTTGGTCCAGACATCTAAGACGGCAAGAATGACGATGATCGTGCGGAGGGCATCGGGGACAAGGTGCAGGGAGAGGGTCTTCGTTGAACCCCGCACGTCGCTGAGAGTTGGGTATGCTTTGAGATATTTTTTATCTCGCGAGCTTCAGAAGAGTTCCCTATCCATCCTTGTCGATGTCCTTGGACTTCGCCGGACACCCTCCGCGTGATTCTCCTTTGCTTCCGGCAGACCCTCGGCTAATTTTGTCCCTGCCCGTTCATGACTGCCCGTTCTTTGCCCGTCAACTCCTGCACTCAGTTGCCCCGCAGGCATGCAGGAGCACGCTCCAGACGACGGCCCCGACGAGCCTGATCTGTCTGCAGGATCGCCGGGAACTGGGGCGGGACGTCGCAGGCACGCGAGAGCAAGGTCGCACCTGCCCCGCCACACCAAAAGCTCCGCACGCACTGCCATCCGCAAGTGAGCCCGCGTTCCCCGCCGGTTTTGTCGAGCCGTTCTTCCAAGTGGCAGCGTGATGCTCACAGCCGCAGACTGCCTCGTGGGACCCAGTTCGACCAAAGTATAGAGTCGGACCGAGGCATAAGATCGAGGTCGGTTCGCGGAGGGTACCCTAATGCTCTTAGTGTTTGTCGGATCTTGCTGTGCAGTATAATCGGCGTTTTCGCTTAACTCATCCCTCTCCCTCTCATTATGCCCCTCCTGATCCTCCTCTACCCTACCCTGCTCATCCTTCTTCTCCCCTTTGCCCTTCCCCGTCTATCTTCCGTGCCTTCTAGTCCCAGCAGTGTTGCCATTGTTCGTAAATGCCAGGTTGCTATTGTACGCGAGTCGTCGCGAGGCACTCGCAGGCTCTGTGGTCGCTGGAAACACCTTCCCTTTCTTTCCTTCGGAAACCACGGAAGCGCGTGGAAGTGCAGGCGACCGAGTCGAGGTCCACAGCTTGCTGGGCGCCGTGCACCTCAACGGGCGTCGCGGGTGTGAACGGACCGGGTAAGGCGGACGAGGAGGAGGACGAGGTTCATTGTTCCCGTATTTTTCCTAATCCTTCGCATGTTAGAATTGTTTTGTGGTGGCAGTCAGGGCGTAACAACCAAGGATGGGCCTGGCGCCCACTCCAGCATAGTGTGATTGCCACCAAGCTATAACGGCCAGCGCCAAGCCGCGCGTTCGATTCTAGGCGGGGAGGTCCAGGATCGTTCGACGGATTTCTGCAGATCTAGGAAAATGCGAGAGAGAGAGAGAGAGAGAGAGTGGGCATTCATCGTGCGTAGGTTCTCGTCGTCCAGGCTGGTGAACCTTTTCATTAGTAGTCGAATCGCATCAGGGGCCGAGGATCGCTTTGTCAGTGCAGCGACGGAATGGTCAGCCAAGCACAGTCGACCAACGCAACATTCTTGGCGAGCCGAGGCGGCAATCAAATCCGCGACGCTTCAGGGAGAGATGTTCCCGCAAAAGTGCATTGCACAACATTGGCAGCGACTGGTGGGCGAGCATCAATCTATCATCTTCCAATTCGCATGTGGGCTTGAAGGGCCACCAGGCAGCACAGCTGGAAGACTGCATTGCCATGGGTGCACGGTGTGGTGATCAGCGAGCCGTTTCAAGGTGAACATAAACAGCGGTTGTCAAATGAGGCAGCCACGACGTTGTCACGTATTCGGTACATTTGTGGCCCGCAGAATTGGCTCGATTAGTAGATTGGGCCATGCTGCAACAGTCTGACGAGCCTGCATGCACGGACAAAGTACACGCATTCATAACTACGCAGGTTGTTTTTCATTACAACCACACAGTAGCCATTCATCTCACTTGTCCCCGAAATCGGAGGGGTGAGGTGCATCATAAAGTTCGTGCCAGAGACGTCCCGCTTTGCAGTCCGACTAGACGGCGATGCTGACGCTAAGGATCGGCGGGGTTCGGAGAGGGCGGATGACCATCTTTAGCTAAAAAGAGTTCTCAGCGAGTTGCAGGGATTTGCACTTTGACCTTCGACACCACCCTCGCCTAATCTGAGATACCAGGCCGCCCAGATGAATGCTCGAGCCACGCACGTGCGGTTGAGTCGATCGCACTTTTTCCATTCGGATCCTGGAATGTAGATTGTGGGGCGCAGAAGCGTGGTGTTCTGAGTCGCCCTTTTATAGCTCTCGGCAAGTCTATGTGTTTCGTCTACATCATACGCCTGCCCATCAGCCTTTGTGTCCGTCTTGTCATCGTGGTGGTACTTGCCGTGATATCGACTGTGCCAGAGCCATAGCACGTGTCGTAGTATGCGTATCTGTCAACTGTCTTGTGTTAATCGCCTTCGCCGTGCTCAGTCCATTCGTCGCCCCACCGGTTGCTGGCGCCAATATTTGTCCCGCGTGTTTTCCCCACGACCCCGCTCATCGTCATACTGTCTCCACTTGTCCTTGACGTGTTGGGTAGGCGCAGTGCCCAGGAACGGGAGTGTGGGCGCGATGGAGTGCACCTCATGCGCTCACGAGCCTGCAGCGCGTGTTGGTCCGTGTCCGTGTTGCTCATGTCGTGAGCACATGGATCTGCACGTACGCCATGCTCCAGGTGATCTTGTTCAATCAGCGTGTGCCCAGCAATCCCTTCCCCATCAACAGTTACAGTGGCGTCCACGGCAGATCAGCACAAAGCATGAACCCATTGCGATAAGAAGCCATCGAGGATACAGCAATGGGGAAGACGAGGGAGGGGTAATACAGGCACAAGGAGCGTAGCTGTGTACGTCTAGGAGCGTTAAGGGCCAAGGGGGGCAAAAGAGCAAGTTACCCACAGCCTATCACATCAGGAGCCATTACCATGATTCAGGTTGCAGGGGATGACTTGGACACACTCAGTCGAAAGCACTCTGCAGGTCTTGCCCGCATCATAGCATGGTAAGGTTACGCGCCAGGGGAGAGGTTGTTGTTGTTTGGCTTTGTTCTGGATGGCAAATCGGACATCTCAAAAGCGCCAGGCAGCAATGGACGTGGGCAGGCTATGAAGCCGTGCAATCTCAGACCGACCTCATGCGCAACATAAGAGACCCACGCATAAGAGATCGCCTCGTCTCAGAAAAGAAGAAAAGTCGCGCGCGAGTGTTTCGATTCCCTCATCGTGAGTCAATGTATTCTCTCTCTCTCTTCTCTCTCCTTGTTCTTTTTTGTTCTCTCTCTCTCTCTCTCTCCCCCCCCGTCTCTCTCTCTCTCATTCTCTTTCTCCGTTCGATACAGAGGTAGAGATATCCCCAGTCAGTGCTTGCACTGAAAGGGGTCCTCACGAATGCTGCAAGGATTTGGCGGAAGCTTATGGCCGATATCAGAAGGCGGCTAACACAGGTTCCCAGTTCTGGGTCCTGGTCCCCCAGTATTTCCTTTATCATTGCTTGCATTGAAACAGTCCTAGCTGATGTGGCATGAACTGGCGAAACTACAGGGCCGATTCGATGGGCGGCCTGGTTCTCGTGTTCCCGTTTCCAGGTTCCGGCGCAAGTGCCAGTCCGAGTTTGGTGGGCGGCCGGGTTTGCGTTTCCGGTTTCCAGGCCGACTTGAGTGGGCGGCTTGGTTTGCAGGTTTTTGGTTCCAGATCCAGGATTCCCAGCACCAGTTAGAGAGCAGAGCCCATTACAGAGAGTACATACATATCTAGAGAGTAAATAGCCGAGTTGCGCAGTGAGAATGGAGAGTAGAGATTTGAGAATAGAGATCAGAGCGAGTCGAGAGGGTAGAAAAGGTAAACATTGTAACAACATAGAGAAAGAGAGAGAGAGAGAGCGCGGGAGAGAGAAGAGAGAAAGAGAGAAATATATTAAGAAAGAGAGAGAGAGAGAGAGAGAGAGAGAGAGAGACGGATACTGCAAATAGGGAGAACAGGCAAAATAAAGTGAGAACACTTGCGATCACGGTCATAGTATGAGGTTGCATAGGTCAGAGCACGTGTCCGACCAGAGTTGAGGAGGGAGAGACAAGACAGGGAGAGTAGCGTGAGGAGATTTGAGAGCCGTTTTTGTTTGGCCCGCAGTTTCCGCGAGCCCAATCCCAAAGCAGATTGGCGGGCCATTTGTTGTTGGCCCGCAATGTGTGCCAGCCGTGGAGATTTGCGGTCCATTTTGCGTTGGCCTGCAGTTTCTGCGAAATCAATCGCAGCCTTTCCTGGTCTGTTTGGTGTGAGGAGATTTGCGGGCCAATTTTTGGGGGGCCTCGCAGTTTCCGCGAGCCCAGTCACAACTGGCCCGCAGTTTCGCGAGCTCCTTGAGGGCACCCCCCTGCGGGCCCAACCCCGTCCGTGTCCGCTAAGAGTGAGCATCTGTGCTGGCCTCTTTATCGGGGGTGGGAGCAGTTTCCGCGGGCCTAGTCCCGCCCCTGCCTTGCCTGCGCGGGGTGGGCAGAGTTGCGGGCCATCTTCGCCAGGTCCCGCGTCTTGCTTCGGGCCTGCGCCGTGCTTGGGGCCTGCACCAGCTGCAGCTCGCATGCGCAAGCGGGGCAGAGAGTGATGGACAGAGACAGAGACACAGGCGCAGACAGAGATAGCGGGTGCAAGCGTGGGGCTTTTCTTTTTACAGTTTCGACCTACTGTCCTGGCCCAGCAAGGCTTGTGAGGCCACGCCCGCCAAGATTATAGCACTGGAGGATAGATATGTCAGTGGCCTGGGTCGTATGGGCGGCCCTTCCACGAAGACTGTCGTGAAGAACGTGCGCGAGCTCCGTAAATGCTAACCAACATCCTGATAAAAAAGGTGTGTTCATCGGTACGGATGAAATCATCCCACTGCGATAGCTTCAGATGCGTGTGAATTTCCGTTGTACCAATTGCGCCTCTGGGCGGCTGGTGCTGCAGGGGGAGGGGGAGGGGGAGGGGGCAAGCTAGGTGCGCTCGCGGGAGGAGGAGGAGGAGGAGGAGGAGGAGGAAGAAGAAGAGGAAGACCCTGCGCCAGGCCCGCGCCCTGCGGGGCCTGCGTCGTCCACGGGCTGCGCCGCGCCCCAGCCCAGAGGCGCCGGGCATCGCGCCGCAGCGTCCCTGCCGTGTTTTCCGAGAATATCCTTACGATCCTGAAGTGGGCGAGCGCCCTACGTCCGACCCCGTCGTTTGCATGATTGCAGCAATGTTTTTGCAACAGATTTCGGTAAGGTCTCCATTTGCTTCCGCCTCATACTCCTCCTCCTCCTCCTCCTCCGCCTCCTCCTGCTCTTCTTCTTCCTCCTCCTCCTCCTCCTCCTCCTCCTCCTCGGTGACTCAGTTATGCGACCTGTTCTCATGATGAGAGGTGACGCCCTCGACCCTGCCCGCCGGTGAATCGGCGGGAGGGGAGCAGAAACCAAGAGGTAACAATAGAGCCTCCTCCTTCTCCTCCTTATTATTATCATCACCATCATCATCATCATCATCATCATCATCATCATCATCATCATCATCATCATCATCATCATCATCATCATCATCATCATCCATTTTGGCTCAAGCGGCAACTGGGGTGCTGTTCACGTACGGCTTCGCTTGGTCAGACAGACTGCGCGCCACCGCCTGGCAATGGGGCGAGCTTCTGAAAATGGCGTGGCAGCAGTATTCCGGTGGCTCGCGGGGCGGGTCAGGCAGCTGGAGAGCAAGCAGAAGAAGTTGGAGGAGACCTTGGCACCGTACGAGAACGACGAGAACGACGTGAAGCTGATCGGAGCTCGAGAGCGTGCAAAGAAGGACAAGCAAGAGAAGGACAACACGTAGTTCTCGTTCAACGTCGACGCCGAGGAGTTCTGCCCAGGTCCTCCGGGCAGTTGGGATCCGGGCTACTGGGGCGGCGAGTACGTCGAGCAGGTGATGAGCGAGAGGGTCGTCGAGACCAAGAAGGGTAAGCACGGCGAGTACGACGAGTACGACGAGAACGACGCAAAGTTGGTCGAAGTTCGAGAGTGTGCCGAGAATGATAAGAAACAGAAGGAAGCCAAGAAAGACATGACATATAATAAGGAAAAGAAGGTTGGTTTCGACGAGCACGGCCACGATAAGCACAACGTGGAGCTGGCGAAGGTGGTCGAACTTCGAGAGAGCGTCAAGAAGAATACGGAAGAGACAAAGACCAGGAAGGCTAAGCACGGCGAGTACGCCGAGTTCGGCAATTTCGACGAGTACGACGAGCACGGCGTAAAGTTGGTCGATGTTCGAGAGCGTGCCAAGAAGGGAAAGGAAGAGGACGGCAGCAAGTACGGCAAGTGCGACTACGACGGGCACGACGTGAAGTTGGCGCAGTCGGTCGAAGTTCGATAGTGTGACGAGAATGATAAGAAAGAGGCCAAAGACCACGAAGGCTAAGTACGGCGAGTGCGACGAGTTCGACGAGCACGACAAGCGCGGCGTAAAGCTGGTCGATATACGGGAGCGTGCCAAGAGGGAACGGAAAGAGGACGGCAGCGAGTGCGGCGAGAACGACTACGATGAGTACGACGTGGAGTTGGCGAAGTCGGTCAAAATTCGAGAGTGTGACAAGAAGGATAAGACTGAGACAAAGACTACAAAGGCTATGTATGGCGAGTACTACGAGTTCGACGAGTACGACAAGCACGATGCAACGTTGGTCGATGTTCGAAAGCGTGCCAAGAGATAGAAGAAAGAGGACGCCTGCAATCACGGCGAGCACAGCTACGACAAGCGCGACGTGGAGTTTGCGAAGTTGGTCGAAGTTCGAGACCGTGACAAGAAAGACAACAAAGAGACAAAGACTAAGAAGGCCAAGCGCGGCGAACACGACGAGTTCGACGAGCACGGCGAACGCGACGCTAAGCTGATCGATGCTCGAGAGCGCGCCAAGAAGGATAAGAACGAGTACGACGAGTACGACACAGAGATCGCGAAAATCGAGTCCCGTTTGGACACAGTGGACAGCACTCTATCCAGCCTTCTCCCGCTGTTCGAGGAGGAGCTGGCCGCACCCCTGGTCGCCAGAATCGAGGCCTGCAGCAAGGAGACCGCGGATTTCGGGGAGCACTTCAACAGCCTGGTGCGCAATCTGGAGCGCAAGGTGTACGGCCTCAGCACGAAGTTCTGCAGGAAGTTCTACGACGCCGACGTCGAATCCGACAGAACGGGACCTGGTCCCGCTGGTGAACCTCTTCGCCACCTGGCTTTGAGCCGCTCGGGCGTGGGGCCGCCGGCGCTAGGGGGGACCTCTGGAAGCCCAAGCAAAAGCAAAAGCATCATCATCATCAGAATCATCAGCATCACTATCATCCGCATCATCACCATCCTCATCATCATCAGTACCATGAGAATCAGCATCGCCATCAGCATCAGCATCATCAGCATCACAATCATCGCCATCCTCATCATCATCAGCATAATCATAGTCAGCATCGCCATCATCAGCAGCATCATCATCAGACTGCCCTTCCTACCCCCGTTCTTCATTATCCTTCCAACCCTTTTTTTTAATTTTCTTACGATCGCAGTTCTGCAGGATCTGCAGTGGCGCCACAAAAAATATATGCGTATTCGTAAAGGCTGCTACAGAAAGATTTCAACAGTGGAGGCCACTGCAGACACCCCCGAGGTGAGAGCCAGCAAGCAAGGAGTGGGTAAGGCCGCCCCCCCTCCAACCGCACAGTGCAGCAATGACGACGTCAAACTTGTGATTGGGATAGCGTCGTTTTTTTGTCGGGCCCTCTAGGGGGGAGCTTTCGGCGACCACGTCGCCTCTTCAGACGGGCCTGCGTAAAAAATGGTTATGGCCTTCCCTCCTGCCGGCACGTGCGCGAAGCAGCAGGGAAGGTAAGGGGAAGAGAAGGTGATGCCAGACTGCGCCGCTCCACTTCGAGGAGCCAGAGCTGGACACGAGAGGAGTTGACACTGGAACAACATGTTCGGTCCATAAAAACCAGCTGCTTCCAAAAAACTGCCGGTCCTCAAAAAGTCGGTCCATGCCCAACCACGCGGACCGACCTCTTTGCAGCGCATGCGTGTGTAGCCATGAGAGCACAAGGTAGAAACTAGGAAGGGCCCTCTGCCGTTTCGTCGCTCGTGCTTGCAGCCAGTGCTTGACGATGGCTTTGACGTTGTGGTCAAGGCTCGTCATTGCCAGTCGGGTTCCCCTCTGGAGCCCCTCTTGGGGGTTCCTTGGGAGCCTCTTGGACTCTCTTGTGGGTCATTGTGGGTCTACGTGGGCCCTTTTGGCATCTTGGGCTATCTTGAGGCGCACTTGGGGGCTTGTTGGACCGTCTCGGGCGGTCGGATGCTTGCAAAAACGAGCGCGACAATTCATCAGGAAGCACACCTCAACGCATGATTTTGCCTTGGGGGGCTCTCTTGGGGGTCCTCTTGGTGCTCTCTTGAGGCGGTTTGGGAAATTCTTCGGCCGTCTTGAGACATTTTGGGCCGTGCTGTAGCTTGGGCCGAACCTATCCGCGGTGGCAGGGGCCGCCGGGGGCCCGCGTGCTCCGCTTTTACTCCGGACGCCCGCCCCCTTGTCTTGGGAACGCCGGCCGCCTCCATGGAGGATGAGGAGAAGGAGGCCTGGTCGTGGCAGGATTTCGGCAGGACTGCACGAGGAAAGCAGGGGCTCCTTCATCCTCCTTTCCTGCTGGCACTCGGGCTTGACCAAGGAGGGAACTCAGGGAAAAAAAGTTAGCCACGCACAACAAGAGTGACGTCCGTGGGGGGGGACCATCCCACAGATCGTTCGTGACACTGGTCCGCTCGGGAGAAAAAGTCGGCAGACCGAAGCCATCGATTTTTCTTCAGACGAAGTGCCTCTCCTGGCGGCCGGGGCCAGCTCCTTGTCGTCGTCCTCCTCCTCCTCCTCCTCCTCCTCCTCCTCCTCCTCCGCCCCATCCCCCGCTTACCGGTCCTCCTCCTTCGCCCCGTCTTGCTCCCTCGTCCCCGTGACAGGAGACGGGCCTGGTATCCGCCTCGTTGCTCCGAGACTCTGCCTCGTGGAGCCGCCCGCCCCGAGACAGACTGCGAGCTGGGGGCGTGGCGGCAGCGCCAGCGGCCGTCTGCTTCCCCTTCTCGGCTACACGTACATCCCTCTTCGAAACCATAGGGAAACAAACAGTGACATAAACATAAAAACTCGGAGGTCCGCGCGGATTTCTCGAATCGGCGCTGGGGCCCCCTGGCAGCGCCTCCGGCGCCGCCCCTGGCGCGAACCGCGCGCCGGGGAGGGGGGCCAAGCGCCGATCCGAGCAATCCGCGCGGACCTCCGAGTTGTTATGTTTAAGTCACTGCTTGTTTTCCTAAATCAAACGCCAGTCTTCTCCCACGACGTGGCGACGCCCCGGACCCCCATTTTGAATGTTGACGCCGACACTGGCGACTGCAATTGTTTGATTGACCCCGCGGGCCGCGCTGCGCGCGTCCATCGACATTTGAATTCGGGGGCGAGGTCGGTTCAAAACTTGCGTTTGATTTCGAGGAGGGTTGTGAAAATGACTTGTCGCCAGAGCGACCCTTCGTGCGGACACGCTGTGGCCCCCAAAGGATCGAACGCCATGCGGTGGCAGCGTCTTGCGCGCTCGGGTTTGGCCTCCCCGCGTCCCCGCAGAAGTCCCGCACCAAGGGTCACTCTTGCCCAGGTCGGCGGCGAGCAGGGGGGATGAAGTGAGAAGGGGTGGGCCTTCTCAGAAGGCTCGGAAGTCCCCCATCCTTCTGACTAGTTTTCCAAAACTTCCCCGAAGACACAGACAACCTTTCAGAAGGCAGGAGGGCTTCTGAGAAGCCCCGCCGCCTTCTGTGAAGGCCTTCTCCTTCTCACTCCTGCCCCTCGCTTGCCGCCGATCTGGGCCACTCTTGCGTGTAGCCTACCCTCGCCCTCGTTTTGCCTCGTCTCCGTCGTCCTCGTCCTCATCCTCGCTGAAGGATCGGAGCCGCGATCGATTCCAGGTATAGGTTGAAAGATCGACGCGGTGTCAAAAAGCGTCCCGCGCGCCGACGCCGCACGAATCTGCCGTCGTGTTGCCTCTTCTCCGTTGTCCTCGTCCTCGCCCTCGTCCTCGTCCTCGTCCTCGTCCTGCTGCCCTCGTCCTCGCCCTCGTCCTCGTTCTCGCCCTCGTCCTCGTCCTCGCCCTCGTCCTCGTCCTCGTCCTCGCCCTCGTCTCCGTTGTCCTCGTCCTCGTCCTCGTCCTGCTGCTTCCCCTGGCGGCGAGGCCAGCCTCGAGGACGAGCCGCTGGATTCCGGCGGGCGGGGGGGCCCGGCCAGAGGAGGAGGCGGAGGAGGAGCAGGAGGGTGGCGGAGGAGCGTCCTCGCGGAGGCCAGGGCAGAGAGTCGTGCAGTCCAGGACCGTTGGGAGGACGAGGAGGAGGAGGAGGAATGAGGAGGAGGAGGAGGAGGAGGAGGAGGAGGAGGAGGAGGAGGAGGAGGCGGAGGAGGAGGAGGAGGAGGCGGAGGAGGAGGAGGAGGAGGAGGGAGGAGGAGGAGGAGGAGGAGGGAGGGAGGAGGAGGAGGAGGAGGAGGAGGAGGAGGAGGAGGAGGAGGAGGAGGAGGAGGAGGGGGAGGAGGGGAGGAGGAGGAGGAGGAGGAGGAGGAGGAGGAGGAGGAGGAGGAGGAGGAGGAGGAGGAGGAGGAGGAAGAGGAGGAGGAGGAGGAGGAGGAGGAGGAATGGGGAGGGGGAGGAGGGGAGGAGGAGGAGGAGGAGGAGGAGCGGAGGAGAAGGGGAGGAGGAGGAGGGGAGAGGAGGAGGAGGAGGAGAGGAGGAGCAGGAGGAGGAGGAGGAGGAGGAGGAGGAGGAGGGGAGGAGGAGAAGGAGAAGGAGGAGGAGGAGGAGGATGAGGAGGAGGAGGAATGAGGAGGAGGAATGGAGGAGGAATGAGGAGGAGGAGGAGGAGGAGAGGAGGAGGAGGACGAAGCGAAGAAGGAGAAGAAGTAGGAAGAGGAGGAAAAGGAAGCCGAGGAGCAGCATCAGAAGGAGCAGAAAGACGGAGGAGGCGGCGGGGAGGAGAGGGAGGATTGATGTTTGATGATATGATGATGCTGATGCTGATGCTGATGCTGATGCTGATGATGATGATGATGATGATGATGATGATGATGATGATGATGATGATGATGATGATGATGATGATAAGGATAAGGATAAGGATAATGATAAGGATAAGGATAAGGATAAGGATTATGATGATGATGTTGATGATGATCATGATGATGATCATGATAGTGATAATGATGATGATGATACTAATAATGATGATGATGATGATGATGATGATGATGATGATGATGCTGATGGTGATGATGATTGATGATGCTGCTGCTGGTGATGATGATGATGATGCTGATGATGATGATGATGATGATGATAAGGATGATAAGGATTAGGATGATGCTGATGATGGTGATGGTGATGGTGGTGGTGGTTATAGTGGTGTGATGATAGTATGCTGACGATTGTGATGTTGTTGATGATGATGATGCTGATGATGTTGATGAAGCTGATGTTGGTGATGATGATGGTGATGTCGATAATGACGATTACGATGATGGTGATGATGACGATGACGATGATGATAACGATGAGGATACCGATGAAGAGGATGAGGATGATAATGAGGATGAGGATGATGGTGATGATGATGATGATGATAACGGTGGTGGTGGTGGTGGTGGTGGTGGTGGCGGTGGTGGTGATGATGATGATAATGATGAGGAGGAGGAAAAGGAGGAGGATGAACAGCAGCATCAGCAGCAGCAACAGCTTCCAGAGCAGCAGGAGGAACAGGAGCAGAAGGCGCAGATTGGGAGGAGGAGGAGGAGGAAGAGAAGGAGGAGCAGGAGGAGGTGGAGGAGGAGAGGAAGGAGGAGGTGGATGAGGAGGAGGAGGAGCAGGAGGAGGAGTGAGACGAGGATGAGGACGAGGGGAAAGAGGAGGAAATGGAAGGGGGAGAAGAAGAGGAGGAAGGAGGAGGAGGAGGAGGAGGAGGGAAAGAGAGAGGTTGCAGCAGGACCAATGTCATAATAATGATGTGGGGCAGGCGCCCCCCTAGCAAACCGACCCGTCTTGCTTTCCTTGGAGGCCCCCTTGGTTCCATCCGCCCATGACTTAAGCAGGGGACAGTGGGGGGCCGACACGGAACGGGACG